TACATCGAAGTTGCTCGCCTGCACACAGTGACATCCCGAGCCGTCTTTAAAGAGCTGAAAGAAATATATGCCAGGTTTGGTAACCCATACACCCAAATAATAGACAATGGACCGCAGTTTGCATCAGCCGAGTTTAGCGTGTTTGCCAAAACGTGGATGTTTGAACACAAAACATCATCACCCACCTATGTACAGTCGGAAAGCAGAAAATGCCGACCAGACAGTCAAAAGGCTGTTTAAGAAATTCAAGACGGCTGGGGGATCAGAATTCCTAGCGCTTCTTGACTGGCGCAATACACGTACGGCTGGAATTGGAACCAGCCCGGCCTAGCGCCTGTTTGGTCGTAGATGCAGGACGCCGCTACCTGTAGCTGTTTCCGTCCTCCAACGCAGCTACCCCACCGAAGAGGACACCAGAAAGTTGATTGGCAACAAACAACGCCAGAAGTTCTACTATAACAAGCACAGCAAAACCTCTAATTCTCGAATAAAAAAAACCCGAAATTTATTCCATCTAGAAGACCCGTAGAAATTTCAAGAGTTATTGAATTATCAACCCATAACTTTCGAACGAAAAAAATGTTAATTTGACCCCAATAACCTCTTGGATCTTCAACAGTCGTGATGTTGTGTCGTCTTGTGCTACTACACCTTAATGTTGTTCTTTTCAGCATGACATCAGTAGCGCCTCCCTTGTAACCGTCTCAAAATGAATTTTATCAATTCCATTTTGTATGATAACTAAACATTGACCACAGAAAAATGCGAGCTGCTTGATCTGACAATGTCAATTTTTTCACTACCGAATTTAACGACTTTTTCATTGTTGTGAGTAATATCTTGAGTATTAAAAAAATACACTAACCCAAATTTGTTGTTGATCTGAGTGATGGCAGTATCACGTTTTCTTTTTATTTGTTACCGGATTTTAATCATTGACGGGATTAAGTACAGTCAACTCTTTTGTCATCTTCGCTGGTGTTTGAAAACCAAGAGTGCCATTTTGTAGTTCATAAACTTTATCCCACATACTACTCGGCACATCGTTTTGATAACCCTTTGTGCCATACGCGACAACAAATATTTGCAAGTCTTGCGTATAAGAGATGCCAGCTTTATTTTTCATGGCGATGTCAATCATTAAATAGTTCGGAGTGACGTTGTATTTAGAAAGATGAAAAATACTGCGAGAGTGATCACTAAACACATTACTTGTTGTTCTTGAAACAGTCTCAATGCTAGAGACGGCTGATATTTGGACTGTTGATGAGTCTATCGGTAAAGGAAAGAACAATTCAAAAACGAAAGTGTATGTTCTAGTCACAAGAGGGTACATATTCAGACTTACACGACTGCTATAACTCTCTCTGCTTGAATTAAGATGAGGCTTCATCTCATTGGTAGTTTTTTTTTTTACTTTGTGAAAACCTTTATTAGTAGTCTGGACACCTGTTATATCACCTTCATTACTGAATTCAAAAGAGGGATTATCCATGAGATATTGAAAGACGTTTTTCTGATCTGTACTTGACACAGAATGATTGAATCTATTACTGACGTACTTTTCATATTTATTATCAATAATGGTTTGTAAGTTTGCATTGCTATTTGAGAGTTTTTTGTTGAAAAATCCAACATTGACAGCATTACTGTTCTCATACGTTTTAGGCTCCTTGAGATAGGTGATACTCCTTGACCCATATTCAAATCACCAGTCATTGCTTTCGAACCATCAATTCTCAAAAAATTGTTTGTCTTCACATCCACATACCGTTTATTGCAACCATTACATGCATTGGTCGGGTCACCAACATTAATCACCTTGTTTCTTTTCATGTACTCTTGAGCATCTGCTTCAGGCCTTAATACAATTTTGCTAGTGCTTCTTTCACACTCCTTTTCTTTTATTTTGAAAATAACGCTCTTGTGAGTGGATATCGCGAGGATGAGTTTGCGTTATAAGGTCAAACTGATGTTTTAACAACTGGAGAAATTTCTATCAGACTTTTCCTCGGTGTCATTCCTTGTGATTGAGGGTAGAATACAATATTGAAATGTTGCTGAGCAAGCCACTGTATTCCTTCATGGGATTCTGCGGGCAAGCTACTGGCACTACAGGTTATGGTATGCAAGTTATAAGGTCTTCAAGAAAAAAATCTTCAGGAGTATTAAGAAAAAGAAACCCTGGTGATAGAGAATGTTTTACACTAAGGCAAAAACAGAAGGAGAATAACTCTCAGGAAGCACTGGTAGGCAATTAAATTTGCTTGACAAAAATGAAAATTGCATTTTCTTGACATTAAGTTTCACTGAATTTGTGTATTCTTTCGGAGGGGTTTATTGCTGTGTTACTGAAATACCTATGACTGTAATAGGTAGACTAATTATTTTTATTACCTATTTTCCTGTTTTCAGCAGAATGGACCATGATATTCAAGGCGGTGTCCGGGGCGAAGGAAAATGCTTTCAACACTTTCAATTCGGGTGAAACTTTCGCTGAGAAAGACATGAGCGCTCTCGACGTAACTAACCAGTCACCAGGCGACTACAAAAGCAGGATAATCCTGAAGTGGGCTGAGTTTGCTGCATCTGAGGTAATAAGGACGTTAATAACGTTAAACGTAACGCCACAAGACATCTTGAGGTGCATAGGTCTGTCATGTACCCGTTGAGTGATAAATCTCAGTTGTAAGAGGAGCGCTTCTCTTCTCGCATGCGTCTCATATGCAGACTGAGGTACATATCACGTGGTATGACACGCACCGGAAATCACGATGAACGGGATTAAACGCGACGGTAACGGTAGCCAAACAAGATATATTTTCAACAGGGTTCATTGGGCAGAAGTTCTTTAAAGGAAACTAGGAATGGCAATCATTTATTCTGTGTTTACAGGCCAAAGTTGTCCTTTACGAAGGAGGCAGGGCTGTAAAGGAGCTTTTCTTTAACGCCACGGGAAAGGACAAATTGAACTGGTTTTCAAAGGAGGGAGCGCTGTAAAGGAGCTTTTCTTTAACGCCACGGGAACGGACAAATTGAACTGGAACAGATCAGAACAGAACTCCTTTTCCATTCAAGGATTGACCAATCGGAACTTCGTCATCAACAGGAATTATAGTGGCTGCCTTATTGATGCCGGATGGCTGTGTATAACCTCATCTCCTTGAGAATGGGAAACGCGTTATGGAGTGAACATTGTGTTGTAGAGCACATTGCTACACACGCCAACACTGAAGGTGAGTATATTGACATTGCAGGTTAACCCCAGCCTAGGAAGAGGAAACTGAACAAGACCGCCACGCTGTTCCTTTGATAAACCTAAAATGCAAGGCTGAAGAGACCGAGCCAGGAAGAATTTTTAAGCCTTCGCTTTCTACTCCGCATTGATTATTGATTATCAGTGAGCCTTACTTGAATCCCTTCATATATTAAGGCGCTTTGGAATGAGTGTTGTGATACCAAAACCAACGTAATCACAAAAGCTAATCAGTGGATGGGTAAATATTACAAGAAACTAATGAAAGTAACAACTAGCAAACGGCTTGAAGCGCGGGAAAACGCGCTTGGTTTTGATTTGAATCTTGTTGGTTTGAATCTTATAATATGGCACATTTTTCTTTTAGACCAATCATGTACAGCAAAGAAAAGGAAATCCAAACCAATCCTGAATTGCTCTGGACACTGTGAAGTTGTTCTATCTTAGAGGAATTGAGAGTACGATTCTAACTTGTGTCGTCGTAGTTCAGCTGGATGCAGCGCCCAAACAGTATCTGAATGCTGCGGATCCAAGCTCCATCAAGGCTTCAGCTTTTCAAGAGTTGACTTTTGCATTTTATCAAATTACAAATTAGTTCGGAGCATCATACACCTAATTTAAACCTTATTTATCCTACATTATTTATCATTTATCCTATATTATATTATACGTGTTATATATATACTTGCTCCACGATAGGATAAATTTATCCTATCGTGGAGCAGGTATATAACACAGGCCATACTCTTTTTTTAGGGTGGGGATCTCCCTTTCTTGTTCCTTAACAGTTTTTGTGTTCATTACTAGGAAGATCACTCTCGTGTTCAATGAAATAACGTTGTTGGAAGAAACAAAAATTGAAAAGGAAAAAGCCAAGTAGGAAGTGATTGAAACATAAAAGTACCCGCTCTGACCATAGTCCCTCAGCGGGACAATTTTCAGAGAACTTCCCATGAAAAATTCTCTCAAACTTCTAAAGTGTGTCAGAAAGCAAAATAACACAAAGTAAGAATCAAATGCTAATGCCGTGTGACTATATTAATTAATTTTGAGTTTGGCTTTTTTTCCCTCTAATTTCCCTGTTATTGCAATTAGGTGTATATCTTTACAGTAAAAATTGACTTGACGAATTCAAAAGTACTGATAACAAAAGTTTCCTGAAAAATGAGATCCTCTTTTTTTCTGTCACTTTTTAGCTAACGTTGCTTAGGTAGATGTTCTGGCGGTTTTCTTTCGCTAAGGTAAATATTGAAATAAAAACGTCCCTGTAATTTTTCCCCTGTGTGAGGTGAAAAGCATAATGTGTTAAATAAACAGCTTTCGTGGAGCAAGTACATAACTTAGGCTACACACTCTCCTTGGGAGGAGACCTCCCATTCTCCATTCTTGTCGGTGTTTGTGTTCTTGGCTGAGACACTTTACTTACACAGTGCCTCTCTTTCCCTCACAGAAATATAAATTGGACTTTCAGGAAAACCTGACAAATGCAAGGGGGATTGGGGGTTGGAGGCCAGGGAGGTAAGCTGGGATGGACAAGTATCCCATCCAAGGGGTGTGGCTATACTCCGATGTACCTCCTGCTTCCGAAACTGGGATAAGTTGAGAGACTGTTATTCACCCTTTTAATGTACTTTACCTTTACTCCTTGGGGTGGGTCAAGAGAGGGTGCGAGGGGAGTTTGAGCCTCCTAAACTGGAATAAAAAACATTTAAACAGATGCGGTTTCTGATGCAAACTTTAGTGAACAGAATTTATGTTTGAAATAGCTAAAAATGGAGATTGTGTAAAAGGCATGTAACAACCTACAGTGTTATGTGTATTTCAAAAATTGTTGCTCAATTTAATTCTTAAATGCTCATCTAAAGATGCTAAACGTGGTGACTCAAAATGTACCTCATTTTTCACAATCTGTTACTCTGACAATAATTTAAGTTTAGCCTAATCAATGATGAATGACAAAAAGCCTTAACTTGAGGACCTGAGGAACCAAATTTTTATTTAAATGTTGAAATCTTTTGTCCGAATATCCTCAATGATACAGCTCTAGTATTTTCACACGGTCTTGCCCTTCTCAGGACACAATCTCTATCAAACATCCCCAGCAGCTTACAGGCAGTTCGAGGTCTGCAGCTGATAGACTCTCGGTCCCTTCGTTAGAAGAAACCCTTGGTTGTTCAGAGAATAAACAAAGTCGTCAAAACTACGAATTTCCAGGCGTAGATCCTATGACAAGTAAACATGAAAAAAAGGTGTTTTTCAACGTGAAACTTTTTAAAATGACATCCCTCTGAGTGGATCATTCAAGAAGAAATGACTGGCAAACTAGACACTTCGGACACACATTATACGATTGCGAAACTTCAGGGCGCGCGGCGCGCTGGCGGAGCATCCATATTTAAGAAAAAGTATTCTCAACTTGAACTTTGTTGCATCAGATTTATTGGATGAAAAAAGGTGAAAAACGAAAACACCTTTTTGAACTTATTTTCCAACTTAAATTTGTAAAATCGAGAACTCAACGACTCTTGGAATGTAATTTCTTAAGTGCTCATATGAAATGTTTTAATGTTAATTACAGAAAGGAGTGCCAGCATTTGGATGCATTCGAATCAATGGAAAAGTGTGCACAATATGCTCACGTGAGGAACATGTAGGGAGATATATCCCATATAAACAGCGCCCATATTACAAAATTAATCCTATTTAAGGCAAGTTCGTACCAAAGAAGAGCGTCCCAGTTACCTTCGCTATCCTCCTCATTTGTTCAACGGTGAAAAGCGAGTTGTATTCCCTCTCTGAAATGCGACTTAGCTCTGCAACGAAGCGTTTTGACTGCAAGATAAAAAGAATTCAGCAATCACGGACTACAACTCCTTCTTAACAAACTGAGACAAAGTCTCTCAAATAAAACCATAACAGGAATGATTCAACAGACCCACGAGGCGAATAAAACCATTATTGAGTACCTGCCTCACCGCAAAAAATGGCGTTTGCTCTACCCTTGGTGGCCTAAAATGGAGTTTTCCATGCGAATTCGATGCTTGTGTGTTAAAAAAAGAGATTTTATAAGCCAACGAAGGCAAAATGAACGCAGTTAGCTCTTCTATCAATTATTGAAGACAGACTTTGCTGGGTACGTGACGATGAGTACCGAACCTTCCCCACGAAGACTAACCTGTGCTCTTGAGCTCATTCCGGAGCCATGTTGAGAGCGTTGAAAATCCAGATTTCCAAAGTCGTCACTAAACGTGTCCAGGAGACTGTATTTCATGATCTCCACCACATCCTTGGCGTCTTGTTGGCTAGCCTTTTCGCGCATCTCAAGCCGTGCTCGTGCCTTCAAGGGCAGATTTGAACAAGGAAACAAAAAAGATGTCAACATGACGTCAAAATTGAAGTTGATGCGCTTCCCTGACGTCTGGTGACGCGCATGCGTACCTTTGAGTTGGGTAGCGAATTGCGAATAATGTACTATCCTCGGAATAAAAAGTCGACATATTGCATTGGTGAAGGTGAAAAATGAGGTCGAAGTAAACGTTAGAAATCGCCTCCTTGTATGCGGAATGGCGTTTCTTTCTGTAAGTTTTGCGAGAACAAATTTTTGCGGTTCGATGTTGGGGCATTTCTGTTGGGAGATGTTTCCATTAAAAGCGATGACGCAAGCATTGATGGCAGAACACGCACAAGAAAAGAACTAAAAATCAATTCAAAACAAATAACATTAATTGACAGATGGAGTATGGAGTTTTTTTTATTAGACTGATGGTAGCAAATTTTTGCAGTGTTTCTTTTGATAGATTCTTATTTCTATGGGAAACCGAAGACTATCTACAAAATTTGCAAAAACAAATAGCTCTCGGATATTTCTACGTATGCTCTCTACACTGTTATCTACAAAAATTTTCCTATGGTACTGACAAGGAGACATCGTTAAACAATCAAGAACTTTTTTAAATGGTGATGATCATATCCTTTTTCGTGTTATCTTAATGCTTGATTCAACAGTAAGAATTTATGACGAAATTAATGTTTATACCTGAGTGAGTCTTATGAGTGACTCAAGTTGCCTGGTAGTGATAGGAGTACTATCCGCACTGTGATGCTGTTGTCTTAAGTCCAAATAAAAATTCTACAGAAGAAACACAACTAAGTCAGCGAGAAATGAATCCGAAAACATGAAAAAAAGATTAAAACTTCGAAAAGATTTTAGCTAGGCTACAAAGCCACTCGCTGATGGCGAATTTGCTGAATCCACCTTAAATCTCTTTCTAGGCTTTACCTTCTACAACTGCCTCGATTAAGATTTGGCTGTGAAGATCACTGTTCATCCCTTTCTATGTAAAGGTCAAACATTACTTGTTTCATGAATTCTTTGCGATCAAAACCATTACTTTAACTGCAAAAAGAATTTAGAACTTCGTACGAGGCTAATACATGCTTCTAGCAAAAACTTATGTACAAATAAAAACAAAACAAATAAAACAAAAGATTTTGCATGTTTACGCACGTAATTCCACACATATACCACAAATGCATAGAATCTTGGCTACCATCAACAAAATTTAATACAAGCTTTTTCGTTTCCGCTTTGTCGCTGAGACAATTCCCTCAGAAAGCTGATACATCACACAACCCACCAGTCAATTATAACAGACGTCGCTTAATCCAGTTTGTAAATCAAAATCTTGGACCAAAGTTCTCAATACTCCCGAAAAATTTACGGCTTTTGTCCACCAGGCTGGCTCGGTGTCTGAGATTTTACCAAACGATTCTTCTTCCCTGTCCATGGCTTCATATGACAATTGGGCAGAAAATTCTCCCATATATATAGCTCGCTTACCAAAAAAAACCTTTGAATGGTGGCACTGCCATGATCTAGGTAACTAAGGCTTAACTGTCTAATTGCAAATGAAAAACAAAACAAAACAAAAAAAAAATTATCAAAAAATTTGTGCCACCGTCATGTGACAATGAATATTTCACCTGTAAGACTTCTGCTGCTGCAGGAGTTAGTTTAGGATGCACATACGTCCTGGCGTAACCCACGTACTGTAACGCAAATGACCCAAATTAGTGACATAATCATCGTATTCAAAATTGTATTTGTTAGAGAAATGTTTCGTAACCATTGTGGTGGTTCCTTTAATGCCTTTTGCGATAAATTCCAATAATATTAATTCAAATGGTACCGAAGTAGAGAACAAACATTGCAGACTGAGAATGCCTCTTGAAAGTAAATTCCATAAAAGATAAACTCAAAATGCAAATTATGTCAGGAATTTGGCAATAATAAGTCAGGCCAAGGAGTTAAAGTGTCCACTGATAACAATACTAACTTTTCGAAGTAGTTGGCTGGGAATGGCATCAAACTCTTCATTTCGACCAATCTGGCAAAAAAAAAGCCAAACGTTATTCACCCTTTATCCGCGTCAAATATAAGAGAAGCAACATCCACCCGCCAGGTTAACTTAAAAACCTGGCAATGCCCTAATTTACCTTTAAACGCTCAGAGAGGGGTTTATCAGCTTCCCATTGTCTCCTCATCTCGTCCTCATCACTGCTACTTTCCTGTGGCCATCCGAAAATAATAAACAGCTATAAATGGGCAACTTGATGGTAGTAAGTATCCGATAAAATAGAGTCATTCATTCTTAGCCTGAGCAAATAAAGTAAAACTAGGGGTCAAAACTATAATAAGTAATTTTCATTTCCCTAAGGCACAAACTGCTCTGAAAATCATTTTGTCCTCCTTCTAAGATCATGAAATGGGTATATCTTCCGAAGCATGTTTTTGTTATTTTTGGCTGTTAATGTTTTAATCGTCGTTAATGTTATGTGCTGCTCTGTCTAGCATCGCCTTACTCAATCGGACAGCTTAGAAAGGTCGTTACGTTGCTGTCTAAGTCTTCCTTTCTGTATTTACAAAGGACTGGGACTGACGCCTTAGCAAAGTTTGTTTTCACCATATCCTCGAATCTTGAAGATGCACAATATAATTTCTTTCCCTGCTGCGGAACCCCCTATAAACTTTTGATCAGAAATTTAATCACTCAAACTCACACAGCAGCATTGTTCATGATATGAATGTCATGTGCAAGAAACAATTCCCAGTCTCGATCATCCAAGATGGCTGTAATAAAATACAAAGCCCAGGTTCTTTTTTAAAGTTGAAACCCGCCAGTGATAAAACGAAATTCGTTGAATATTCTTAACAAGCTCGAAGAAACTTTCCTTGTCATCTCAGTTATGCGTAATGGGTAATTTACCGCGTCATTAAGCTATTTGCACTTTAGAACGAGCGCTTCTTCGCCCGCGAATAAGTTTGAGGCTTTGAGCTACGTGAGCTGGCAAGGGGTGGGCAAATGGTCTTGCATTCATTAATGGTGCCAGACCACCGGTAAACCCAGACCTCCACGACTCGTCTCCAATCCTCTCGTCCTGCAGCGCTAATAACGAGGGCGTGCTCGCAAGCTAGGGTATTTTAACCTTGGATGAAGAATCTCTGTACCTCTCTTGAACGCCGTCTTGCTGTCACCACCCCAAATGCACTACAAAGATAAAGAATCATGTACCATTATTACAGACATTTCTATTCTAAAATCTGCTTGGGCAGCAGACTGTAGAACGGGAGATGTCGAGTTCAAATCTCGACCGGATCCGGTACCAATAGGGGATTGAAAAGACAAGTCCATGAACGAACTCCACGTAATTAAGATGATCGCCACATCTTTACATCAAAGTTTCCTTACTGTTGTCGATTGAATTTTTACTAGGAAATGAATTTGGCATTCTTTTGGGGCTTGCCCATTTGATAATCAATCTACACCTCGTAACAAAAGGTGCAAGAAAAATCGTCCTTTCTCACTCTTAAACCTCAAAACAGCAGTTAGGCAGTTTTCTCAGTCAAACATCCTTGAGATCATCAGCATGAAATAATTACAAAAAAGTTTAATGATTTACCTCTTTTTCCCAGCATGCAAGGCCATAACATGTTCGGACAACATACAATCCATTTCCTGTTGAAAAATGAGCAGCACTCAGCTAACTTTTATGGCGTAAGTGATCATCCACAGCCAACCATTTCATTCCCAATATCTCATCAGAAATTCTCCTTACTGTCTGCTATACAAATCTTGACGTTAGTTCGGAAAATTTGGTATTGTATCAACTACTAATCCGCTAACTGTTATTTTCTTTATCTTCATTACCTTTTTGCTTAACAATGTATTGATATTGTAAGGAAGCTACAATTACGATATCTGGTGGCGTGCCTTGGAGACGAAGAAAATTACGCTTTGTAAGTGTAGACAAACATCATCCAAGAGGTGAGAATCTTAAACCGATAAAAAACGTTGATACAAAATATCATCTCGGAATACTGTTACACATAAGACTGAGCTCGCATCATGACTAAGGACATAAGAAAGAGAAAATGGGGAACGGTTCTCAGGAAATCAACTAACCTCGTCTGGCTTGTCCAACAAAATGAAAACCTAAAAATACAACAAAAATTTGTCTCTATCTGAATTCGATTGCTGTGTGTCGAACACATGTTCACAATGATTTCAATGCGTTCGCCCCAAAGTGGAGCGAACTCAGTTATGACAGATTTTCTGAACTAACCAGGTCGAAGCGTGACAACAAAGCACTCCCCATCCTAAGAAAAAAAAAAGATAATAAAACATTTTAAGGATCGTATGAATACTCAGTTTTGTCAGCACTACCTAAATTAAATGTAAAATTCAGCTGACTTACTTGAGATTCTCGGACACAGTCTTTGCTTTGTTGTAGTGACCACCCACAGGGTTGGCGGCCGCAAGGATTGATGTTCTCGCCGGTAGGCTGAAATCAGTACGGAAAATCATTTACTACCCAGATACTAACGAAATAGCAGAATTTTTCCTGTTTCGAACATGATATTGTCTCTGCGCGCAGTAAACTTACCATTCATATCTTCACATGGAAAGACAACGATGTCGTCTGGTAACCGATTTATCATTGCCTTTTGTCAAACCACGAAAGATTCCATTTGACCAAATAACGTCAAGAAAACGCGCAAAATTTTAGGAAGAACACACTGATACGAAACCGGTTCGGCCGGTTTTTCAGAGAAGGTAGCGTGGCAGAATTGTTCGTACAGTGGAGTTGTAATCTAATGGTCCCCGGCGCAAGCATCTTACTTGCTACCCACCAGATTCGTTACCTCTGTCTCCGAGTTTAACTCCTTTGCTGAGTATTGTAAATATTCAACAGATTGGTCTCCTACTAACTGGTCATTTTGCCCGTTCTATGTTGTTTTTTTTTCTCTCGTTCTTTGTCCTTGTAATAATTTCTATCATTATACTTTTCTTAAAGGAAAAAAAGAAGAGGACACGATATAAATAGAATACACTTTACTGACCTGCAAACAACGCCGGCTTTTGCGATACTTATACTTTGCTGTTCCTAAAAAGACAAGATGAAAAGATCCTCAAGACACACATGAACTAATAATCTTGTTCTTTTTACATTTGGAGCCTTTCATTCTGAGCACATTATCAAGGGGAAAAGTTGATTCTCACAAAAGCCTCGTGTACACTAAACAATTCAATTATGAGTTCGAGATTGCTATCGCGCAATGATCAATCAGGGCGAAGCCCGAAAGAAATATTACGCCTTGAAATCGAGAGCGAATAATCTAGTAATTGTTTGGTATATATCTACTCGTCGTTCAAAACTTAGCAGGATCATGAATAAAGGGATAAGTTTCTAAAGAAACTGTGGTGCTGCGTCGGTGGGAGAGTATAGCAGGTAATTTAGTGTTAACAACTGGGTTGAAAACGTAAATTAGCCACCGTAAAGGGTAAAAAAGCTTTTACGGTGGCTAATTTACGTTTTCAACCCAGTTGTTAACACTAAATTACCTGCTTAGCAGGATCATGTCTTGCGTTTAATTTGTTTATACAGCCGCATACTGCCTAGTCACCCTCTTTACTTACCATCTATCATGGTATAGACAGCGGGTAGAATGACCCATCAGATTTCAGGATTTACGATAGGACACTGCTAGATTTATTCTGAATGTGGATGAAGATAAGTTTAATGTGAATATTCAAACCTCACCATTGCTTCAAGCAAAGCTTGATGTTGGCTTCCCATCTTGTCGAATTCATCAATACAGCAGCAACCTAAACCAGGGTATTACAAGGTAAACAAGAACTGAATTTGATTGGGCCATCATTATAACTAATATTTCCTTTCCCCATCGCCTTCCGCCTCGTTTCATGGGTTCAGTTCATTGGGTAAAGCAAACAAAAAAGGAAAGAAAAAAGGATTTGAAAAGAAAATCGACACCAATAGTTGGCGTGGTGGAGGTGTAGCAATTTACTTTGGGTAAGATTATTTCAACTCCTGTCCAAAGTATTTTTCCAGTCTAGATATATTTGCGAGAATCGATTTTTTTTTTCTTCTGAAATCAATTAAATAACGAAAAAAGTAAATAAACAATGCGTACAACGTACCTTGGTCTCCTAACACAAGTGCTCCAGCCTCTAAAGAATAATCTCCAGAGGAGCCTTCCTTAGACAGTGTAACCTAAAAAACAACGTGGCAAACGGAGTATAAAAGGTGTTTACTTCAAATTGTCCTTCCCTTCCGTTTGGTTTTCGCCGCTTCGAGCGTCTGAATCAGGATATGAACCTTTCTATTACAACTACAAAGGTTTTTTCATAATCCAGTTCTGCCAAGAGAACGTAGATGGAAAATTATGGAGACAGAACACAAAAAAAATTGTTACCGTGAGTCCTGAGGTTGACGTTGCATTTCCACAGACATAGACGCCTCTTGGAGCAACATTGGACACTGCCTGAAGCATCTGCACTCAAGACACACACACGAGAAGTATAAAATAATAGAATGCTTTCGCTTGGTGCCTGATTGTTATCGCCCCAAAAGTAATTCGGCCCGTTTTACAGATTCTGTCAGAAAATATTGCAGATATCATAGGCCCTCGCACTGGTCCACAGGTGTGTTTAGGTGAGAGTATAGAAACACGGTTGTGAAATTTTAATCGTCTGTTTGAGAAATATTTGATAGAGGACTTAGCCGTGTCTAAATGGCTACATTTTAACACTCTCGAAAGTTATGCAAACCTTATACTTGTGACTCAAGTATAAGACTTATATTCGTGACTCAAGACACAAACACCCGTCTTGTAAAGATGAGTTTACCTTACCACTGAATCCCTGAATTTGAAACAAGTACCCGTTTACTGACTTTACGTTTAGTCGTAGTTTTAAGCTGAACTTCGACTCCAACAATTTAATTGTCACATTAGCGTAGACAATGATATAAGCCACTGAGTCATATTCGTTTTGATTTTCCTTGATCTTATAGCTCTGTGCCTCTGAACGGCTCCAACTTCAACATTGATGAAAACCAGCCTTAAGCTTTACACTCATCTCAAATTTTAAAGGAAAGAGATTAGTGCAAAAAACCAAAACTAAGAAGGTTAATCAAACCAGCATCTATTCCAATCACCTGGCTTTTCCCCAATCCTGGGTCTCCAACAACCAAAATGTGTGGATTGCCTCTCACTGGAATACGATTCTGTAGAAAAATTTGTAAGCAACGTTTAGATGAGGTGAATCTTAGCATTACATCATTCTTTTTTTCCTGGAGGCATGTGACTTCATTTACATAAATCCGAAAGTATGCTTCCTGATTCACCATTTTAACCTTTACATAACTCCAAAGGTCAGATCCACAGTTCCTCCTTCCAGCTTTCAAACATCTCCGTGTAAATCATAAGAGAATTTAGTGATTAAGGCAACAACCTCAGCTGATAATTTTACCCTTTCTCGTCACCTGTTTTCTTTGATAGAATATTACTACCCCAATGCTTTCAAAAGAGAGATGTGATTGTTTGTCTCACGATGTGGTCAATTTAAATGTGGATCGTAACGTTTCGACTACATACTGCTGGTCTTCTTCGGGCGAAGATTTAAATATACGTGTGTGTATTATAATCCATTATCATCTGAAGAAGACAAACAGTATGTAGTCGAAACGTCGCGAACCACATCCAAGGTGACCACATCGTGAGGCAAACGATTATATTTCTCTTTTGAAAGTGTTATTTACCATCATGACTTGCCAAACCATTTTACGATTTACCACCCTAATGGCTGGCAAATCTCGCCTCCCCCTCCTCCCCCGGCCCCAATCCAGACGACTATCAACACTTAATCGATTATTGGAAGGGAAAAAGGTAGCGAGGTACGGTGGGGAAGTTTAAAACGTGTTTTCCAATTAAAAAAGGGGGTTGGAAAGACTGAAAGAGTGAATTAACAATACAGGAAAACCAAAAGAAGGCAAAAGAAACAGAAAGACTCAGTAATGACTGGGTCAGAGAGACAGAGATGAAGGCAAGTACAGTACATTCCTGACTGTCAAAGTTATCAGCAAAGGTAAAAAAATCGACATTTTTACCCCTGTTAAAGATAGGGTAACAAAATTAAAACTATACCTTATCATTCAGGTATCTCTGGGTTCCACCAAACAGGCCTAACACCAAACCTGCTTTCACCATCTAACAAAAGGAATGATAATGATGATGAATGAAGAGGTTTTTTTGGAATCAAAATCAAATATCAATTGCTTACAAGAAAATTTCCTTTTATTTCCTCAGTCTGAGACATTTACAAACCAGGTAAATTAGGAAAAAATACCTCGTGTCCATAGATTGAAGGGCACAAAGAGCTGCAATTAGAAATGAGGTAGAAAATGTTTTACCTTAAAGAAAAAAGATGCACTTTTCTCAAAATGCCTAACAGACTTAATCCACATAATTTTAAATAATTTGGTAAACCTCACAAAAATTTTTTGGAGTACTCAGAATTAATCATAAGCAAGAAGCAGTCCATAGTTTCTTGGAATTATTGAAAATTCTATGTGATAGTCTGAGTAATGAAAATAAATAAAAAGTATGCATACATACACTTGAGGGAGTAAAAGAAAAAAAACAACTTCAATTAAAAATGCATTCTAATACTCTCACCCAACAATCAATCGAAACAAGTTCTTTTGAGCCTGAATTTCTTGAATGGCATACAGTTCCTATCAAATGAGGAGAAAAAATAAAAAACTTTAGGTTCAGAAAAATATACATTTTCCTTAAAATTAGCTTAAAGTACTTGTTAGACAATGAGCATTATATGGTCAATGCCACAAAGGTAGCATATCATGGGTGAACAACAAGATAAAAAAAGGAAAGCTTTGATGGGAATAGAAATAATTTTAAAACAAGGAGGATTTTTCGAATACAAAGTGTAGATGAAAAAACCTTAATAGAAAATTCCATGGCCAGTCCACTGGTTTGTTCGGTAGGCCCAGTTCCTCCCTTGTTATTATTCACAGCATTGACATGGAGGTAAAGTAGGAACATGCACTTGTCTTTGTTGCTCCTGTTGCGATCTACCAGTAAACAGTTCAGAAATGTACTGTCAGTAATTAAAAAACAGATGCAAGTGGGGGGGGAAGGGGTCTTCTTTAATTGGGACACTGATGCTGCATAGCAGTGAATCAATTTCCTGAGGACACAAGGACTGATCGTTGTTATGATAGGAACTAATTATGTGTAATTTGAGGCATGACTTGATTGACAAGAGGCACACACCTGTAGAAACTAATATAACAGATCTTATATGTAACTGCATGCATGATTTCAGCCATATGAAATAAACTGGTTGTTTTGAAACCGAAAGCTGTCTTCTCCCAATCTACCACACAAACAAAACAATCGTGGTTAAATTGTGGTATATTTGACAAGGGCTTAGTACCAGCAGACTAAGGTATAACCAACTTGAAAATTTGAGTGGTATGATATGTCAACTACCTGTGCATTGTAGTTCTCCAACTCTGAATGTATAACCCAGCATTAAAGACAGACCAAAGAGCTCATTGACTAACATTTTGCAGTTGCACATTAGGCAAAACAAATCCATACACAAGCTTTTGAACAAAATTCCCTTGTATGTACTTCGCTTGACTTGATGAAAATGAGCTTTCCCAACATAAATTGTTTGTTCGAAGTGCTATTGTTTCTTTTCCTTTGAAATTGTTTGGATTTTCATAGAAATTTCATTTCATGGGCACTATGTTTAATGATAATGCTTATTAAAAAAAAAAAAAAAAGGGTTTAATTAAAAGACAGCTGAATCTATTTGCTCTACAGTTCTTTCTTCCAACTACCTACTTTCTTCTGTTCCTGTAGCCTTCACAATCCCAGTAACGGTAACCATATCACCTGGAACACAGCTGTCCACTAGCAAAAAGAGGACAGAGAACATAGGGAAAAAAAATCATGTTACCCTAAGTGACAAAATGTACTTACAGGTATCCATGTCGGACAGGAAACCAAGTTTGACTTTTATCAGTTCCTAAATGCAGGAGATTACTTAACAGGGAACAGATACATGGAGATGTTCCTTGATTATTCCGATGAGTTTATTCAATTGCTCTTCTTCTTTTTTCACTGCAGTTACTGTAACTAATAGCTAAGCAAAGTCCTAATAAAAGCAAACAAACCTAGAGGTACATGTATCACATCGGTTTGGATGATAAGAATAAATGTTACAGAGAAAAGAAGATATATTTAGTATGAAAAAATCTTGGATACTATTAACCCTTTAACTCCCGTGAGTGACCAAGACAGAATTTCTCCTTACTATATCTATACCATATCATACAGACAAGTGATGAGAATAAAGAAAACTGTCAATTATGGGATTACTAATTGATCCAATATCAAATTCTCCAAACTAACATAATGATAATCGTTTGGCAGACAGTAAGGAGAATTACTAATGTGATCTTGGGAATTAAAGGGTTAGCTCTTTAACCCTAACATCAGTATGCATATTCTCGACATTGCTCTATAATTACATTTCAGAAAATGCTGTTGAGGAGGATTTGTTTGAAAATCAAGAGCTACTTTAGTTGGTGATCATTTTCCTTTATCATTGTGAAATAGCTTTATGATTTGGATAATTTTGTCAGGAGAAAATATATACTTATAACAGACTCCTAGGGGTTTAAGGGTTAATTTTCATATACATTTAAAAAAAGAGGAAGAAAATCTTCATACACCAAATTAGAAGATCATAAATTCATACCTAGATCAGCAGTCAGTTCACACTCAACAGTTCTTGGAATTCTTCCAGATTCACGTTGGTCATCGTCCATGATTTCCTGAACTCTTTGGGAAGAGAGAACAAACATTGAAACCAACATCCTTGCTAAAACCATTCTTTTTAATTTAGTCACCATGGTTTCAAACTATTGTAGACTGAAAAAAACTTATGATATACTCTTTCAAGAATTTGATATGAAGAATGAGTAGGCAACCTTACAGGGTAAAACAAAGTTCCACAACTACAGCTCAACCAAACAGCTTGCAAGGATTTTGAAAGCTGTGCAGTTAATTTTTATTCAGTCTGATCCTCTTGGTATTTTTTCATAATTTTTTATCTTGTTCATCTACATGTACAGAATATACATTTATACATGGGCACATCTGCATCTCGTGTGTCAAGCAGAGGCCTACAGTACACTGCATACACTGTCTGAGTTAAAAGTTAACCCTATGTTACACTCTAACATTAGTATGCATATTCTCTGTTCTGTTCTCTATACCTTTCTGAAGGTGCTGACAGGGGGAATTTGTTTAACAATCAAGAGCTTCATTAATTGCAGATCAATTTGTTTATTATCACGGCCTTAATATTTGATTCAGGGGTGGTATTGTAAGGGAAAATAAGATCCTAGTCACTCTTACATGTCAAAGGGTTAAACTCTTAAACAGGTCATTCAAGTAGCTCACTTCACTCTCACAATACTTCATTCTCACAGTGTAGACCTCTCTCCTCTCACAGCGTAGACCTCTCTCCTTCTACAATACTTCACTCCCACAGTGTAGACCTCTCTCCTTCTACAATACTTCACTCTCACAGTGTAGACCTCTCTCCTCTCACAGTGTAGACCTCTCTCCTTCCGCAATACTTCACTCCCACAGTGTAGACCTCTCTCCTTCCACAATACTTTACTCCCACAGTGTAGACCTCTCTCCTTCCGCAATACTTCACTCCCACAGTGTAGACCTCTCTCCTCCCACAATAATTCACTCTCACAGTGTAGACCTCTCTCCTCCTACAATACTTCACTCTTACAGTGTAGACCTCTCTCCTCTGACAATATTTCACTCTCACAGTGTAGACCTCTCTCCTCCTACAATACTTCACTCTTACAGTGTAGACCTCTCTCCTCCCACAATACTTCACTCTCACAGCGTAGATCTCTCTCCTCCCACAATACTTTACTCTTACAGTGTAGACCTCTCTCCTCTCACAATATTTCACTCTCACAGTGTAGACCTCTCTCCTCCCACAATACTTCACTCTCACAGTGTAGACCTCTCTCCTTCCGCAATACTTCACTCCCACAGTGTAGACCTCTCTCCTCCCACAATACTTCACTCTCACAGTGTAGACCTCTCTCCTCCTACAATACTTCACTCTTACAGTGTAGACCTCTCTCCTCTGACAATATTTCACTCTCACAGTGTAGACCTCTCTCCTCCTACAATACTTCACTCTTACAGTGTAGACCTCTCTCCTCCCACAATACTTCACTCTCACAGTGCAGACCTCTCTCCTCCTACAATACTTCACTCTTACAGTGTAGACCTCTCTCCTCTGACAATATTTCACTCTCACAGTGTAGACCTCTCTCCTCCTACAATACTTCACTCTTACAGTGTAGACCTCTCTCCTCCCACAATACTTCACTCTTACAGTGTAGACCTCTCTCCTCCCACAATACTTAACTCTTACAGTGTAGACCTCTCTCCTCCCACAATATTTCACTCTTACAGTGTAGACCTCTCTCCTCTCACAATACTTCACTCTTACAGTGTAGACCTCTCTCCTCCCACAATACTTCACTCTCACAGTGTAGACCTCTCTCCTCCCACAATATTTCACTTGTACAGTGTAGACCTCTCTCCTCTCACAATATTTCACTCTCACAGTGTAGACCTCTCTCCTCCCACAATACTTCACTCTTACAGTGTAGACCTCTCTCCTCCCACACTACATCACTCTCACAGTGTAGACCTCTCTCCTCTCACAATATTTCACTCTTACAGTGTAGACCTCTCTTCTCCCACAATACTTTACTCTCACAGTGTAGACCTCTCTCCTCTCACAATACTCCACTCTCACAGTGTAGACCTCTCTCCTCTCACAATACTTCACTCTTACAGTGTAGACCTCTCTCCTCCCACAATACATCACTCTCACAGTGTAGACCTCTCTCCTCTCACAATATTTCACTCTCACAGTGTAGACCTCTCTCTTCTCACAATACTTCACTCTCACAGTGTAGACCTCTCTCCTCCCACATTATACTTCACTCTTACAGTGTAGACCTCTCTCCTCTCACAATATTTCACTCTTACAGTGTAGACCTCTCTCCTCTCACAATATTTCACTCTTACAGTGTAGGCCTCTCTCCTCTCAAAATATTTCACTCTCACAGTGTAGACCTCTCTCCTCTCACAATACTTCACTCTCACAGTGTAGACCTCTCTCCTCTCACAATATTTCACTCTCACAGTGTAGACCTCTCTCCTCTCACAATATTTCACTCTCACAGTGTAGACCTCTCTCCTCTCACAATATTTCACTCTTACAGTGTAGACCTCTCTCCTCTCACAATATTTCACTCTTACAGTGTAGACCTCTCTCCTCTCACAATATTTCACTCTCACAGTGTAGACCTCTCTCCTCTCACAATATTTCACTCTCACAGTGTAGACCTCTCTCCTCTCACAATATTTCACTCTTACAGTGTAGACCTCTCTCCTCTCACAATATTTCACTCTTACAGTGTAGACCTCTCTCCTCTCACAATATTTCACTCTCACAGTGTAGACCTCTCTCCTCTCACAATATTTCACTCTTACAGTGTAGACCTCTCTCCTCTCACAATATTTCACTCTTACAGTGTAGACCTCTCTCCTCTCACAATATTTCACTCTTACAGTGTAGACCTCTCTCCTCTCACAATACTTCACTCTCACAGTGTAGACCTCTCTCCTCCCACATTATACTTCACTCTTACAGTGTAGACCTCTCTCCTCTCACAATATTTCACTCTTACAGTGTAGACCTCTCTCCTCTCACAATATTTCACTCTTACAGTGTAGACCTCTCTCCTCTCACAATATTTCACTCTCACAGTGTAGACCTCTCTCCTCTCACAATATTTCACTCTCACAGTGTAGACCTCTCTCCTCTCACAATATTTCACTCTTACAGTGTAGACCTCTCTCCTCTCACAATATTTCACTCTCAGTGTAGACCTCTCTCCTCTCACAATATTTCACTCTTACAGTGTAGACCTCTCTCCTCTCACAATATTTCACTCTTACAGTGTAGACCTCTCTCCTCTCACAATATTTCACTCTTACAGTGTAGACCTCTCTCCTCTCACAATACTTCACTCTCACAGTGTAGACCTCTCTCCTCCCACATTATACTTCACTCTTACAGTGTAGACCTCTCTCCTCTCACAATATTTCACTCTTACAGTGTAGACCTCTCTCCTCTCACAATATTTCACTCTTACAGTGTAGACCTCTCTCCTCTCACAATATTTCACTCTCACAGTGTAGACCTCTCTCCTCTCACAATACTTCACTCTCACAGTGTAGACCTCTCTCCTCCCACATTATACTTCACTCTTACAGTGTAGACCTCTCTCCTCCCACAATACTTTACTCTCACAGTGTAGACCTCTCTCCTCTCACAATACTTCATTCTCACAGTGTAGACATCTCTCCTCTCACAATATTTCACTCTCACAGTGTAGACCTCTCTCCTCTCACAATACTTCACTCTCACAGTGTAGACCTCTCTCCTCTCACAATACTTCACTCTTACAGTGTAGACCTCTCTCCTCCCACAATACTTTACTCTTACAGTGTAGACCTCTCTCCTCCCACAATACTTTACTCTTACAGTGTAGACCTCTCTCCTCCCACAATACTTCACTCTTACAGTGTAGACCTCTCTCCTCCCACAATACTTTACTCTCACAGTGTAGACCTCTCTCCTCCCACAATACTTCACTCTCACAGTGTAGACCTCTCTCCTCCCACATTATACTTCACTCTCACAGTGTAGACTTCTCTCCTTCTACAATACTTTACTCTCACAGTGTAGACCTCTCTCCTCTCACAATACTTCACTCTTGCAATGTAGACCTCTCTCTCCTGCCAGGAGTTTTAATTGGTACTAGCAAACTCTTAACAAAAACAGATGTTATGTTAGAGGGGAGGGAAGGGGAGATTTCTGCAATTATATGGAGATCCCTTCCAAGAGGAAAAGCATTACTCAAAGTCAATTCACACAACAGAAACTGGAATAAGCCATAGTTGATTTTGTTTTTCATTTAAATGACCACTCACTTGATAGTTTGCCAGTCAATTGTCTCAGTCATTGGTGAGCTTCTCTCAGGAGTGAAAGATTTGCCACGACAATCCACTGAGGAACACTAATAAAGAAATAATATTCAAAAAGAGGATAGTCCTGAAAACATTAATTACTTCCATGTGCACTGATGACTACCTCTGAGGGTTTTGCTGACTTGCTTTAACTTTTAATTAAGGGAGTTTCCAGCAACAGCTCAACAACATGCAGCCACTGAAAAACTTCTTTGCACTTCAAAGTAGATTCATTTGATTTGGATCTAGGTTTTGGCATGTTTTATCATGAAAATACACATGTAGTAAAGTATGCCTTGTTGTGTATAATGCACATGGGAATTGGGAGATAATCAAAGAAAGATTAGTAAATTATAATTATAATATTATTATAACAGATTCAATGATATCCTAATGATGCATATACAATTAACTTAACCCTTCAGAGCATCCTAATTTCAAAATTAATGAACTCACAATTCTTAATTTAACACCAAAATGCATGCTGTATACTGCAAATTAAAGTTTTTTGCCTGCTACTATGGTGAGCTTCTTGAAATTATGGTTCAAATAGCCCTTTTGAGTAATTTTTAAATGTGAGACAAGTTAAAGAATCAAATTAACTTGCCTGAGTTGGAATTGAGTACTTCCCGTCGGTGAAATGAACAACCTTGAAATGACCATGAAAAAAATTAATGTTGCCGTCAGAAAAAATTCATACATGAGATTGCTTTATTTCTATCACTTAGTCTTTAAAATTTTTTAAAGAAAATAAATTGTCTTCTCATTTTGAGTCTTGTAAAAATTTAGTCACACATTCTCATTTCATTTCAAGTTGCCTTGAAATCTTGAAATGGCCCACACAAATCAGCATTTAATCCTGAAATGGTCAGATTCACAAACCAAATATGAATACAAAATAACATGACTGCATAATTAAGACATAGACACCATACCTGTGTCTGGCTGCACAAGTTGCATGAAAATGCCATCTTTTTCACCAGAGGTTTAACATTGCTAACTCTTATTACTGTTCCATGGATTGCCACAAATTTGCCTGCAGTTGTTACAGCATACAAGTGAGTGCAAGGACAATTCAAAGGTCTGAGAAAATTTAACTCTGTGTGATTTGGATGATTTTCTGAGAGTTCAGAGGTCTTAACTCTTCAACTCCTAGGAGTGACTAGCATCAAATGTCTCCTTACAATATCACCCCTGAATTACACATAAAGGTCAGGAGAATAACAGTTAATTAAACAAATTCTCCTTGTCAACACCTTGGCAAATGTAGAGAGAGCAGTAAGGAGAATATGCATCCTGATCTTGGGGTGTAAAGAGTTAAAGTTCCACAGCATACAGAGAAGGTGAAATCAGTTAAAGAACTGAAAACTCACAAGTCATCAGGATCAAATTTTTTAAAGAGGTACATGGACACATTTTACATACCCCAATAGCAAGACTTGAGGTTTTTGAGTGGAATGGCAGGCTCAAAGTCTGTTATTCTGGTGGTTAAAATTAAAGCAATTGACATTTAGCTAGTATATAACATATGAGGCACAAAAATGAATCTGCTAAGTAAAGACTGTAAGGAGAGTAAATATCAAAAGACATCACCCTTGAAATAGAAAAACATATATATATAAATTGGGTGTATTCATTTTATTTCTACAACTAACATTATGCTCTCCAGGTAATCAAGCAAGCAATGTATTAAAGGAATACCATTTAAGGAGAATTTTAAATTCCATCACTATACACAAATGCTAAAGTAATAAGCAAGCCTCCCTATGTTAAATACATAACATTATTTTCTCATGTCTGGTACAAGCTGGAATGTTTGCAAAGCCTACAAATTCACATACCTTGCTTGTATATATGGCAAATCAAACAATGGTGCTCCATGGGGGCTCTCAGCCGTCTCCACAGTCAACAAAACCTTGAATTTAAAAAAAATTAACAAAAAAGGGAAGAAAATCTTTGGAGTCAGTCATAAATCGCATCTACATGTCGAAGTATTTCTGTAATTATCAACCTAGCAACATGATCATAACATTTTTTTAAAAAAAAGTCAAGACTTATCTTTTTAGGAAAGCATTTATAAGAATTAAAGACTTTACTACATTAAGACATTCTACCATCTTTGTACATTAAAATATATGAAAAATAATTTTTTTTCATAGTTTATACATTTCATCAATAGTTTAATTGTATTAGTATGCTATAAAATTTTAAGGCACTATTAGAAATTACTGGAAATTGCAACATATACTTTAAATAAAGTAAATATTGTAATCATGATAATTATTAGTACATATATACAAAACAAGTGAAATATGCTATTCATGCACGCTGGCTAGTTTTGAAGTGAATAGGAAGTACTAGTCACCTCCAAGCAGCCAATCACACAAAATCATGCACCACAAGTTCAATTTCCAACCATTTTTCCCCATGATATTGAAAGAAACAACCTAATTTATTGGTTTCTGTGTGGTATATACTAAAAACAGTTATTCACCTCAGTCAGTGTAAGGGAAAGTGATGAATATTTACCTCACTACTTTATGGCTCAGTAAATATTGCCCTCTATTTACCTCCAATGCAGTAAACAATTATTACTTAATATTATATATATTTTTTCATGAAATCAAAAAATCAGACCATCACAGCTCTACACTACATTCATAAAAGAGCATACCTGAGAAACTGCCAAGCTAATGCTATGAAGAACTTCTGTAGGCTGATCTCGTAAATCTCCAGCGAAAGATGGAAAACTCTCAGCAAGCTCTGGAGTAATGTTTGAACAGAAAGTTGCAAAAGTGTAAACCAAACAATGACTAGCATGATACAGTTAATTTTCAATTTAAGAATGATATTTTTGTTTTTTGAGAAAACAAAAAACATTTAGAATTCAACACAAAGAGGTAATCTGAAAATATTTATTACTAAGTGAGAACAATAAAAAGGAAGACACCAACTTGATGCAAATTGTTTTTTTTTTCTTTTAGCTACTTCATTGAGAATTTCTGTCTCAATGTATCTTGTATTTCCTTGAATAATCACCTACAGTGTAGGAGCTTATTTCAAATTTTTTTCCCAAAACAAGGAACACTTAAAAAGAAGGGGGGCACCTTATCAAGGATGGGAAGGGGGGCTCATCATTCTCCTACACTCCTATTCTGCTGAAGTTGAAGCTTAAAAAGTTATGAATAAGGTGGGAATAAAACATATTTTTGTGAGAGAGGAGCGGTGTACTAATTTGAAGAGGACACTTGTTTGAGAGATTGGGGCTCATTTGACATGTAGAGCTGGGGGCTTATTCAATTAAATATGGGCTTTGATCACCAAAGTTGTATGTTCTCTATAGATTTTAAAACATTTAAAAAGTTTGTAACTCTGCATTTAATTCTATCCATGACACAATTACCTGTATCTGATATTAGATCCATATAGTCAAACATCACAGCTGCTTTGCTTTCAATCTCATCCTAGGAAAGTGCATTATTCAGATCACTGTTGAGTCAGACCAAGACAGAATTTCTCCTTACAATATCGAGCAAACAAGAGATAAGAATCAAGATAATTATTAGTTGATCCAATATCAAATTCTTAGAACTGATATCATGAGAATTGTATTGCAGACAGTAAGGAGAATTATTAATGAGATCTTATGAGTGAAAGGGTCATATAAGTAAACATGACAAAATATAATGCACACCCTTAAGATTGGTGGAGATCACTCCAATCTGGAAGTAACTGAATAACTACTATGGCTTTTTCTATTTTTACCTTAGAAAGTTGAGCTGCATGTGATTCCACAAACTTCATGATGGCTTTAACTTTGGTTGCAAGAGCTGAGTCTGGGTTATAAACTTCAGAAGAATAATTATTTGAATGGATAATTCCTTAAAGTCAAGATACATTAAATCAAATATATATATACAGTCAACTGGTAAGGGATTCAAGTTAAAACTAGACAAGTGTACCATTTGTAACCCTTAACTTCCACAAGTGGTGAACACATAACTTCTCCTTACAATTATATTTGTGCTTTCACTCCCAATATCTTGATTAAAACTCTTCACCATGCATTCCTCATAATTTTTTTTGAAATTATAAAAGTTTGGTGTTGGATCAAATGATAATCCCCCAATTGATATTTGTCTTAATTCTCATCACTTGTCTGCTTCATACTGTATTAATACTGTAAAGAGAAATTATGTGTTGATCACTTCAGGGAGTGAAAGGGTAAAGGGTAGGTATTCACGGATGAAAAATGCACCTGGTTACAAACTAATCCCACAAAACTACCGACTCACCAATGTCCGGGAAGTATAAGTTCCATTTCTTGAAGGGACACGGCGTTAAGCTTGTCTGTATTTGCCGTGCTCTTTGATGTTGCACTTGAGGACCTGAACTTCCTTGGTCTGAACCCCTTTGTGCTAAAGCGATAATTTCATGAAATTACTAACAATTTTTTTCGTCAAGTCACAAGCGTGGAACACAGAAATTTCCATCAATTTCACCTCTTCCTGTCTGGCTCGTTCCTCTAGCACTCTTTCCTCCTCGGAACCTCTGTCCTCTTCCTCTCCAGAAGTTACCTCTTGCTCTCCCGGAGCTCATAATGGGTGAATTGGATTTATGTTTTCATGAATTATTGTGACGCACGACCTTTGGAATCGATAAATAATGTTAAAACAAGGCTCATTTGGGCGCCTAGATAAATTTCAAATCTGCCGCCATTTTCCCTCCAAAGATCCATGAGCTCTCTTATAAGGCTGTACTTAATTGGTTTAGTTCCTTAAAAAAAGAGCCAATCAACGTCGCGCATCTATCTCCTTTTCCAAATTTGCAATATGGCGGCTGTCGTGAAACAACGAAATAGGAAACGTCCTAGACCTCAAGCTCAAGAGAGCAGCCCTCCGAAGAGAAAAGTCGATGAGAACTCGCCAGTGATACTATCATTTAAAAATCATCGGCAAGAGCTGGATTCTCGGCATGACAAACACGAGCGTTTAGTTAAATGTGGCAGAGATGTTACTATTGCAAGCAAACGGATCATTTTTAATCTTCAGCGAGTAGCCGGAGCGAGTGATACGGAGCAGATCTTCAAAGAAGCAGATGAAAAGTTTGTAACGGTTAAAGAGCTCCTAAATACGATAGCTTTGGAGTTAGAGGGAGAAGACCCTTTCTTGTTCACCCGAGCGTACTCTCCTGGTGTGCAGGAATACATCGAAGCATTGTCTTTCGCGCATTTTCTCAAGAGGAAAACTTTGATTTCTTTCGACCAAGTTGAAGCGGAGTTGAAATTTTCAAATGAGGATGGTAAAGATCTTGGCTTAAGCTTAAATCCGTTCGACTACGTACTTGGAATCGCGGATCTGACGGGAGAGCTCATGCGTTTCTGCATAAACAGTGCGTCGAGCGGGGACCAAAAAACTCCTTTTGAGGTGTGCAGCTTTCTGCGGGAAATTCACAACGCTTTCGTGGCGTTCGGGAATGTTTCTAGGGAGATTTCCTCAAAATTGAGAGTATTGAAGGCCAGTATGAATAAGGTGGAAGTCGCTTGTTACACTTTAAAAGTTCGGGGTTCAGAAATTCCTCAATTTGCTTTGGCTGAAGCACTGGGTGGAGACTTTACTTCTGAAGAAAGGGATTTTAATTGAAAACTGCTATAGCCTTAGCTGTTTCAAAAGTCAGGTATCAGGTTAAATTTATTTATTTGGGAAAACTGAAGCTGTTTGAAAAAAGGAGAGTTATTTCAAAGATTAAATTGTTGAAGAAAATGAATGACACTTTTTAAAAACATGTTTTGACAGTTCTTCTGTCATCTTCAGTTTTGAATAATACAAAGTACAAAGTTGAATTTAAAGTGTGTAACAAAATGCTGATTGGACAAAACACACTATAAATTCAACTTTACTTTGTATTATTCAGAACTGAGGATGACAGAAGAACTGTCAAAACATGTCTTTAAAAAGTGTCATTCATTTTCTTAAATTTGTTACATATCTGCTTCTATCCAGACCTTTTGGCAATTAAATTGTTTCTGTCATTTGATACTGTGTTGTTCTAAGGCAGGTTATACAGTTGTGTTTTTGTGAAGCATTTATCCCACTCAATCATTTACACCCTAACATGGATATCAATATTCTCCATACTGTTCTCTCTACATTTCTTAATAAGCTGACAAGGAGAATTTGTAAACAATCACAGACTTTTCTAATCAGTGATCATTTCCTTTATTCTCATTATCTTAATGTGTGATTCAGCAGTTTTACAAGAGCTGAAACATTAGCAGATATTTTAACCATCATTTTTACATTTGTGACTTATTGCCATGCCATGCGAATGTTCTGTTTTGTCAGCTTGGATTTTGAACTAGACTTTCAACTTCTTTAGCACCTAAATGCCTCAGGATATAGTGTTCCAGTGATTGTTGCCCCTGACCATGTATCAAGGAGCCCTAGTTCTTGTCCTAGCTGGACCATTTTGTTATTTTTCTTTACTCTCAAAGTCTATTCCTCTGTTCAGAGGCAGAAAGTCAAAAATTATGAATGGAAGCCTGTCAAGGAAAGATGGCAAATTGCTGTTGGGTTGGGAAAGGGTGGGGAATGGTGGTGGGGAGATGACCTTGCATGTCCTGGCATACTATCCAAGGGGGAGTAAGAATAAAAGAAAAATTGGTGGTTTCTCCTCTAGCACCTCTGGCAAAATTGGCCTTCTTGTCTGTAGCCTGACTTGACCAAAATGTATCACTTCAGGTCCGACAGGGTCTCCTTACACTGGCTTTCAAATTTGGCATGAGTGCAACTTTAAGTTTTTAGACAAGTTCTCCTTATGCTGGCTTTCAAATTATGTGCAAGTGCAACTTTAAGATAAGGGAAATTATAAAGTCAGAAACTGATACAGCTCCTCAAATTAACATACTGTTTTATTGGATTTAAATTCGAGGCCATATTTTTTCTAAGCTGTAGTAAGGGCAAGAGACTTCAAATCTCCGCCTATTAGCTTGGTTCATCAGCAAATCCCTTCACAAGAAACCCTGCGGAAAAAGCAAGTAATCTACTGCCTCGATTTTCTGCCATCTGATGTTGTACATATTCAGTGGCAGTCAGCTCTGAAATAAAAAGTTGGGCAGTTTATTTAGTGTTGAAGCCTTTTTGTCATTCATCATTTATTAGGCTAAACTCAAATTATTGTCTAAAGTAACAGATTGTTAAGATGAGCATTAAAGAATTAAATTTAACAACAATTTTAGAAAATACACATTACCTAGGAAATGAAAAGGCCATTCTCTGTTCAAGGCTTCTGGTGAAGAAGAGTTCTGGGGCAGACCCCAGATATAGTAAATGGGGGTCCCGATAAATGTCTGCTGAGGGCACGGGGGTCAGGAGTGTTCCCCCCCCAGGAAATTTTGAAATTTAGATCCTGGGATGGGTGATTTCCAGCATTTAATATTGAGGGACAATTGTAGGTTGTTTCATGCCTTTTACACAATCTCCAATTTTAGCTATTTCAAAAATACATTCTGTCCACTAAAGTTTTGCATCGGAAATTATACTTTTCATCTCACACAGGGAATAAATAACAGGGACGTTTTCGTTTCAATTTTTACCTTAGCGCAAGAAAACCGCCAGAACATCTGCCTTAGCAACGTTAGCTGAAAAGTGACAGAAAAAAAGAGGATCTCAGTTTTCAGAAAACCAGTCGAAATGCTGCGGAATCCACATCATTATTATGATTGTAACTAAAACTCTTATGATCATTATTTTCTAATTCATCAAATCAATTTTTACTTAAAAGTTATACCCCCGATTGCAATAACAGGGAAATTAGAGGGAAAAAGAAAAAAGCCAAATTCAAATTAATTAGCATAGTCATATGGCATTAGCATATGATTTTTATTTTTTGCCTTCTTGGAACCACGTTATTTCCAAACAGACTTCTGACACGCTCCAGAACTTTGAGAGAATTTTTCACAGGAAATTCTGTGAAAATTTTCCTGTTGAGGGATTATGGTCAGAGCCAGTACTTTTATGTGCCGATCACTTCCTACTTTGCTTTTTCCTTTTCTATTTTTGTTTCTTCCAACAACGTTATTTCATTGAATATGAGAATGATCTTCCCAGTAATGAACGCAAAAACTGTTTAGGAACAAGAAAGGGAGGTCCCTACCCTAAAAAAGGTATGGCCTATATTATATACTTGCTCCACAATAGGATTCATTAGGTTTTCATTAGGTTTTCATTAGGTTTTAATTAGGTTTCAATTAGGTGTATGATGCTCCAAAGTAATTAGCAATTTGATAAAATGCAAAAATCAACTCTTGAAAAGCTGAAGCCTCAATGGGGCTTGGATCCGCAGCATTCAGACACTGTTTGGACGCTGCTTCCAGCTGAACTACGACGACACAAGTTAGAATTAAATTCTCAATTTTTCTAAGATAGAACAACTTTTCACAGAGTGGTTAGAGCAATTGGTTTGGATTACCTTTTCTTTGCTGTACATGACTGGTCCAAAAGAAAAATGTGTCACATTAATTTTCAACCAATAAGATTAAGATTTTCAATTAAAACCAATGGTGATTTGGCCAGCCGCGTTTTTTCGCGCTTCAAGCCGTTTGCTAGTTGTCACTTTCATTGACTTCTTGTAATATTTACTCATCAACTGATTGGCTGTTGTGATAATGTTGGTTTTGGTATCACAACACTCATTCCAAAGCGCCCTAATATATGAAGGGATTCAGATAAGGCCCACTGATAATCAATAATCAATGCTGAGCAGAAAGCGAAGGCTTGAAAATTCTTCTCCCTCTCTTAGCCTCATCAGCTTTGCATTTTAGTTTTATCAAAGGAAAAGCGTGGCGGTCTTGTTCAGTTTCCTCTTCCTTGGCTGGGAGTTAATTCGTAATGTCAATATACTCACCTTCAGTGTTCCAGTTGGTGTGTGTAGCCAACGTGCTGTACAACACAGCGTTTACTCCATAACGCTTTTCCCATTCACAAGGAGTTGAGGTAATACACAGCCAGCCATCATCAGCAGGGCAGCCACCATAACTCCTGTTGATGAAGAAGTTACGATTGGTCAATCCTTGGATGGAAAAGGAGTTCTGTTCCTCTGATTTCACATTTTCCCATGGCAAGGGCTCCTTCAATTTATCCTTTGAAAACCAGTTCAATTTGTCCGTTCCCGTGGCGTCGAAGAAAAGCTTCTTGACAGCGCTCCCGTCTTCGTAAAGGACAACTTTGGCCTGTAAACGCAGAATAGATAATTATCGCTCCTAGTTTCCTTTAAAGAACTTCTGCCCAAGGAACCCTGTGTAAATTATATCTTGTTTGGCTACCGTTACGGTTGAGTTTAATCCGGTTCATCGTGATTTCTGGTGCGTGTCATACCATGTCATATGTACCTCTGCCTGCATGTGAGACGCGTGCGAGAAGCTAGAGAAGCGCTCCTCTTACAACTGACTTTTATCACCCAACGGGTACATGACAGACCTGTGTACCTCAAGATTTCTTATGGCCCTCATGTTTAACGTTATTAACACCCTTGTTACCTCAGATGCAGCAAACTCAGCCCACTTCAGGATTATCCTGCTTTTGTAGTCGCCAAGGTGCTGGTTAGTGACGTCGAGAGCGCTCATGTCATTCTCAGCGAGAGTTTCACCCGAATTGAAAGTATTGAAAGCACTTTCCTTCGCCCCGGACACCGCCTTGAATATCATGGTCCATCCTTGTGAAAACAGGAGAACAGGTAATAAACAAAATTAGTCTACATATTATAGTCAAAGGTATTTCAGTACCACGGTAACAAACCCAAATTACACAGTAACAAAATGAAAATGCTATTTTCATTTTTGACAAACAAATTTAATTGCTGACCAGTGCTTCCTAAGAACTATTCTCCTTCTGTTCTTACCTCGATATAAAACATTTTTTTTATAATTAGGTTTTTCATTTTTTTTTTTAATACTCCTAAAGATTTTTTTTTGAAGACCTTATAATTTGTATACCATAACCTGTCATGCCAGAAGCTTGCCCGCAGAATCCCATGAAGGAATGCAATTGCTCGTTTAGCAACATTTCAATATTATGTTCTACCCTCAATCACAAGGAATAACGCTGAGGAAAAGTAGAAAATTTTTCCAGATGTTAAAACATCAGTTTGACCTTACAACGCAAACTGCAAGATCGTTATTTTCAAAATAAAAGAAAAGGGATGTTAAAGAAGCACTAGCAAACTGTAGAAATGCAAAATTGTGAAAAGGCCTGAGGCAGACTCAACTGTCAGCACATGATATCCTTTTTGTGATCAAATCAAGCTAAACTCAAAATAACTTTAAACTCACCTCCATTAGACATGTCACAGTAAACTGGAAAAACACTGGGATCACCTGAATATGAAACGAAAATTTTGTTAAAACTTGGAATAGGTGAACTTCATTCCTAACTGATTTAAAACTCATATTGTGCTTACACCCCTCTGTTTGAAAGATCACTTGTAAAACAAGCGTTTTTAATCAATTAAAAACAATCAAAGGTGAACTTCCTGTGTTCAAAATAGTGAAATGAATTCACCCTTTCAGTGAGCATCCGTTGGCAAATTTGTTCCAAGCGAGGATAGACCTATGATAAGCCATTGGTACAACTGTGGCGAATGTCACCTAGAAACTTGATCGGTCTTGGGTCTTGCAAATGTTTTATCCAGACGTGAAATCGCGTCAACCTTTGCGATGAGGCTCAAAGTTTCACAGGGCAGCTGAAGTTGTTTAGGGTTATGGTTGTGGATGTGGAAAGTCTCTATATCATCCATGCCGTTTGAAAATATTGCAATTTTTCATCAGAGATCTATTGCCAAGACAAACTCGAAAGAGGTTTGACAATCTAAACAGCGATTTATAATATCTGAAAAATATATCTGAGTGGGTCGAGGTTATTAAATGATGAAAAGCTGTTTAGCCAACATTATTTATTCTCGAACTTTCAAACCGAGGTCAGGACGTTTTGACGAGACTTAAATTTTACCATTCGCCCTCTCTACATGACTAACAGAGTTTACTTAAAAGCTTCCAGAAATTAAAGTTAAAAATATTTTTGATCTTACTCTTGAACGTAAGCCAGTAAATTCCATCGTCGGCTGCGGAATCTTCCTCCATGATTTCCTTACACGAATAAGCTGGATTCGCCCTTGAATTTTTGGGAGTAGGCATTTCAAACTGCAGAGGTTTATAATCACTGCCATCACACATCAGCAATTTCCCATCTTCAAGTTTCAATTGGCCCGCTGATTTGGCTTTGCACTCGCAGTTGTGTTTCTTAACAATGGGACCACATTTGTATTTCTTGCCAGCCGATGTGAAAAGCACGGTGCTGATCAAGATTAGGCCCAGAACGACCAGATATCTCATGTTGACGGTTTATCTGAAGAGAGAGCAGAAAGTGTTTAATATGAAGATGAATTTGTGCTCTTGTGGAACACCGAGTTGTTTATCAATATGGGATTTTCAAATCCTCAGAAAATCTAGTTACAGGAGTACAAAAATGCAGAATTTACTGTAGCAAAGTGATGCATTAAGCAAGCTTAAAGTTCAAAAAATTTCCACCCCTGCATGTTCATTGTCCACGGAAATTTGCCAAATGGGTGTAAATTTGTCCATCACCAGCGATGCAACAATGTGCAACTAACGTTGCTATCGGAAAATTTAAGAGTATCGAGAGACAGAGAGGCTTTGTTACACATCTACTTCACCAAGATTAAGTTTTTTTTTTGGGTCATTGAGGGGAAACTCGTAAGGCAGCCTATTCAAAATATATACGCAAAAACAGTAAAGCGAAGTCCCTTTGTGAATGCGTGGACAACTGACGACATCTAATTTCAGAGTCTGAAAACTCATTAATCTGGTAGACAATATGTAAAAGTTCTGGCCAAACAGCAAACTAACTGGAAACATGAAGCTAATCTAAACGTGGTGGGAAAAACTCGATTGGCATCTCCATGTGGGGAGGGCAAACCTTTCGGACAAGGAAATGGTAATTAAAAAAAAAAAATCTTCAGCAAATTATATTAGTTGAAGAGAGTCTCGAGAGAAGGGAGAGCACTAATTTGTCTCAGAGCTTGGTCTCTTTTTTAAGGTGAATCTCCTCAGCATTCTGAGACGAAATGAAACCTACCTTGAGTGTGCTCTGACTGAATTCTCGGCGAAGAACCTCTAATGAACGATTATCGCTTCGCTATTGAGTTTTCATACAAACCAACCCCGGAATACATTGTCAATCAAACACAACAACCCCCCACAAGGTTCTGTTAAGGAGGCTATGAGCTATTTCCAAGAAACAAGGCATGTTCACCAAAAATGTAAAGAACGATCCTGTACAAAATAAAAAGTAAGGGAGGTCCCAGAGCTTGGTCTCTTTTTTAAGGTAAGTCTCCTCAGTGTTCTGAGACGAAATGAAGCCTACCTTGAGTGTGCTCTGACTGAATTCTCGCATATTTCTTATGAATTTTGCGAATGTCTGGTTTTGTTTACCATCTCTGTCGTCTCTCTGGTTAATTGAATTGAATTAATGAAATGAATTAATTGTACGCTAAGCGAATCGTGATGTCGCCCTAAGAGATGGTAAACAAAACCAGACATTCGCAAAATTCATAAGAAATATGTGAGTTTGAAAATATTGCTTAGGGCGACATCACGATTCGTTTGGCGTACAATTAATTCATTTCATTAATTCAATTCAATTAACCAGAGAGACGACAGAGATGGTAAACAAAACCAGACATTCGCAAAATTCATAAGAAATATGTGAGTTCGTTTTCTAATCGACGTTTTACTCGGCGTTGCGGTCTTGACTGTCCCTGGGTTTGACAGGATTATTTTTAAAATCGGGATCACGAATTAAATCACGCTTCACGCAAATATTTCAGCGGATCCCGAGGTGAAATAAAATTGTCTAGCTAAGGTACAATTTTCATCCAGAGGGATTCTAAAAATAACAAAAATAGCAATTCATAATAAAAAGTTAGGATAATTTCATTCCACTAGTTCTGCTTTTACTAATAACGAGTGTTAAAAATATGAACTGTTTGCAAACGAATAACCCATGCTTCCCAAGAGAGCACTTTATTGGCATTTATCTTTCGCCTCATTTAATTAGTTTTAATTAGTTTTTATTTTGTACAGGATCGTTCTTTACATTTTTGGTGAACATGCCTTGTTTCTTGGAAGTAGCTCATAGCTTCCTTAACAGAACCTTGTGGGGGGTTGTTGTATTTGATTGACAATGTCTTCCGGTGTTGGTTTGTATGAAACTCAATAGCAAAGCGATAATCGTTCATTAGAAGTTCTTCGCCGAGAATTCAGTCAGAGCACACTCAAGGTAGGCTTCATTTCGTCTCAGAACACTGAGGAGACTTACCTTAAAAAAGAGACCAAGCTCTGGGACCTCCCTTACTTTTTATTTTGTACAGGATCGTCCTTTACATTTTTGGTGAACATGCCTTGTTTCTTGGAAATAGCTCATAGCCTCCTTAACAGAACCTTGTGGGGGGTTGTTGTGTTTGATTGACAATGTATTCCGGGGTTGGTTTGTATGAAAACTCAATAGCGAAGCGATAATCGTTCATTAAAGGTTCTTCGCCGAGAATTCAGTCAGAGCACACTCAAGGTAGGTTTCATTTCGTCTCAGAATGCTGAGGAGATTCACCTTAAAAAAGAGACCAAGCTCTGAGACAAATTAGTGCTCTCCCTTCTCTCGAAACTCTCTTTAACCAATATAATTTGCTGAAGATTCTTTTTAAAGAAATTACCATTTCCTTGTCCCAAAGGTTTGCCCTCCCCACATGGAGAAACCAATCAAGTTTTTCCCATCAAGTTTAGATTAGCTTCATGTTTCCAGTTAGTTTGCTGTTCAGCCAGAACTTTTACATATTGTCTACCAGATTAATGAGTTTTCAGACTCTGAAATTAGATGTCGTCAGTTGTCCACGCATTCCCAAAGGGACTTCGCTTTACTGTTTCGCGTATATATTTTGAATAGGCTGCCTTACGAGTTTCCCCTCAATGATCCAAAAAAAAAACTTAATCTTGGTGAAGTAGATGTGTAACAAAGCCTCTCTGTCTCTCGATACTCCTAAATTTTCCGATAGCAACGTTAATTGCACATTGTTGCATCGCTGGTGATGGACAAATTTACACCCATTTGGCAAATTTCCGTGGACAATGAACATGCAGGGGTGGAAATTTTTTGAACTTTAAGCTTGCTTAATGCATCACTTTGCTACAGTAAAAAATTTACTCCTATCACTAGATTTTCTGAGGATTTGAAAATCCCATATTGATAAACAACTCGGTGTTCCACTAGAGCACAAATTCATCTTCGTATTAAACACTTTCTGCTCTCTCTTCAGATAAACCGTCAACATGAGATATCTGGTCGTTCTGGGCCTAATCTTGATCAGCACCGTGCTTTTCACATCGGCTGGCAAGAAATACAAATGTGGTCCCATTGTTAAGAAACACAACTGCGAGTGCAAAGCCAAATCAGCGGGCCAATTGAAACTTGAAGATGGGAAATTGCTGATGTGTGATGGCAGTGATTATAAACCTCTGCAGTTTGAAATGCCTACTCCCAAAAATTCAAGGGCGAATCCAGCTTATTCGTGTAAGGAAATCATGGAGGAAGATTCCGCAGCCGACGATGGAATTTACTGGCTTACGTTCAAGAGTAAGATCAAAAATATTTTTAACTTTAATTTCTGGAAGCTTTTTAAGTAAACTCTGTTAGTCATGTAGAGAGGGCGAATGGTAAAATTTAAGTCTCGTCAAAACGTCCTGACCTCGGTTTGAAAGTTCGAGAATAAATAATGTTGGCTAAACAGCTTTTCATCATTTAATAACCTCGACCCACTCAGATATATTTTTCAGATATTATAAATCGCTGTTTAGATTGTCAAACCTCTTTCGAGTTTGTCTTGGCAATAGATCTCTGATGAAAAATTGCAATATTTTCAAACGGCATGGATGATATAGAGACTTTCCACATCCACAACCATAACCCTAAACAACTTCAGCTGCCCTGTGAAACTTTGAGCCTCATCGCAAAGGTTGACGCGATTTCACGTCTGGATAAAACATTTGCAAGACCCAAGACCGATCAAGTTTCTAGGTGACATTCGCCACAGTTGTACCAATGGCTTATCATAGGTCTATCCTCGCTTGGAACAAATTTGCCAACGGATGCTCACTGAAAGGGTGAATTCATTTCACTATTTTGAACACAGGAAGTTCACCTTTGATTGTTTTTAATTGATTAAAAACGCTTGTTTTACAAGTGATCTTTCAAACAGAGGGGTGTAAGCACAATATGAGTTTTAAATCAGTTAGGAATGAAGTTCACCTATTCCAAGTTTTAACAAAATTTTCGTTTCATATTCAGGTGATCCCAGTGTTTTTCCAGTTTACTGTGACATGTCTAATGGAGGTGAGTTTAAAGTTATTTTGAGTTTAGCTTGATTTGATCACAAAAAGGATATCATGTGCTGACAGTTGAGCATCTGCCTCAGGCCTTTTCACAATTTTGCATTTCTACAGTTTGCTAGTGCTTCTTTAACATCCCTTTTCTTTTATTTTGAAAATAACGATCTTGCAGTTTGCGTTGTAAGGTCAAACTGATGTTTTAACATCTGGAAAAATTTTCTACTTTTCCTCAGCGTTATTCCTTGTGATTGAGGGTAGAACATAATATTGAAATGTTGCTAAACGAGCAATTGCATTCCTTCATGGGATTCTGCGGGCAAGCTTCTGGCATGACAGGTTATGGTATACAAATTATAAGGTCTTCAAAAAAAAATCTTTAGGAGTATTAAAAAAAATGAAAAACCTAATTATAAAAAATGTTTTATATCGAGGTAAGAACAGAAGGAGAATAGTTCTTAGGAAGCACTGGTCAGCAATTAAATTTGTTTGTCAAAAATGAAAATAGCATTTTCATTTTGTTACTGTGTAATTTGGGTTTGTTACCGTGGTACTGAAATACCTTTGACTATAATATGTAGACTAATTTTGTTTATTACCTGTTCTCCTGTTTTCACAAGGATGGACCATGATATTCAAGGCGGTGTCCGGGGCGAAGGAAAGTGCTTTCAATACTTTCAATTCGGGTGAAACTCTCGCTGAGAATGACATGAGCGCTCTCGACGTCACTAACCAGCACCTTGGCGACTACAAAAGCAGGATAATCCTGAAGTGGGCTGAGTTTGCTGCATCTGAGGTAACAAGGGTGTTAATAACGTTAAACATGAGGGCCATAAGAAATCTTGAGGTACACAGGTCTGTCATGTACCCGTTGGGTGATAAAAGTCAGTTGTAAGAGGAGCGCTTCTCTAGCTTCTCGCACGCGTCTCACATGCAGGCAGAGGTACATATGACATGGTATGACACGCACCAGAAATCACGATGAACCGGATTAAACTCAACCGTAACGGTAGCCAAACAAGATATAATTTACACAGGGTTCCTTGGGCAGAAGTTCTTTAAAGGAAACTAGGAGCGATAATTATCTATTCTGCGTTTACAGGCCAAAGTTGTCCTTTACGAAGACGGGAGCGCTGTCAAGAAGCTTTTCTTCGACGCCACGGGAACGGACAAATTGAACTGGTTTTCAAAGGATAAATTGAAGGAGCCCTTGCCATGGGAAAATGTGAAATCAGAGGAACAGAACTCCTTTTCCATCCAAGGATTGACCAATCGTAACTTCTTCATCAACAGGAGTTATGGTGGCTGCCCTGCTGATGATGGCTGGCTGTGTATTACCTCAACTCCTTGTGAATGGGAAAAGCGTTATGGAGTAAACGCTGTGTTGTACAGCACGTTGGCTACACACACCAACTGGAACACTGAAGGTGAGTATATTGACATTACGAATTAACTCCCAGCCAAGGAAGAGGAAACTGAACAAGACCGCCACGCTTTTCCTTTGATAAAACTAAAATGCAAAGCTGATGAGGCTAAGAGAGGGAGAAGAATTTTCAAGCCTTCGCTTTCTGCTCAGCATTGATTATTGATTATCAGTGGGCCTTATCTGAATCCCTTCATATATTAGGGCGCTTTGGAATGAGTGTTGTGATACCAAAACCAACATTATCACAACAGCCAATCAGTTGATGAGTAAATATTACAAGAAGTCAATGAAAGTGACAACTAGCAAACGGCTTGAAGCGCGAAAAAACGCGGCTGGCCAAATCACCATTGGTTTTAATTGAAAATCTTAATCTTATTGGTTGAAAATTAATGTGACACATTTTTCTTTTGGACCAGTCATGTACAGCAAAGAAAAGGTAATCCAAACCAATTGCTCTAACCACTCTGTGAAAAGTTGTTCTATCTTAGAAAAATTGAGAATTTAATTCTAACTTGTGTCGTCGTAGTTCAGCTGGAAGCAGCGTCCAAACAGTGTCTGAATGCTGCGGATCCAAGCCCTATTGAGGCTTCAGCTTTTCAAGAGTTGATTTTTGCATTTTATCAAATTGCTAATTACTTTGGAGCATCATACACCTAATTGAAACCTAATTAAAACCTAATGAAAACCTAATGAATCCTATTGTGGAGCAAGTATATAATATAGGCCATACCTTTTTTAGGGTAGGGACCTCCCTTTCTTGTTCCTAAACAGTTTTTGCGTTCATTACTGGGAAGATCATTCTCATATTCAATGAAATAACGTTGTTGGAAGAAACAAAAATAGAAAAGGAAAAAGCAAAGTAGGAAGTGATCGGCACATAAAAGTACTGGCTCTGACCATAATCCCTCAACAGGAAAATTTTCACAGAATTTCCTGTGAAAAATTCTCTCAAAGTTCTGGAGCGTGTCAGAAGTCTGTTTGGAAATTTAACGTGGTTCCAAGAAGGCAAAAAATAAAAATCATATGCTAATGCCATATGACTATGCTAGTTAATTTGAATTTGGCTTTTTTCTTTTTTCCTCCAATTTCCCTGTTATTGCAATCGGGGGTATAACTTTTAAGTAAAAATTGATTTGATGAATTAGAAAATAATGATCATAAGAGTTTTAGTCACAATCATAATAATGATGTGAATTCCGCAGCATTTCGACTGGTTTTCTGAAAACTGAGATCCTCTTTTTTTCTGTCACTTTTCAGCTAACGTTGCTAAGGCAGATGTTCTGGCGGTTTTCTTGCGCTAAGGTAAAAATTGAAATGAAAACGTCCCTGTTATTTATTCCCTGTGTGAGATGAAAAGTACAATTTCCGATGCAAAACTTTAGTGGACAGAATGTATTTTTGAAATAGCTAAAATTGGAGATTGTGTAAAAGGCATGAAACAACCTACAATTGTCCCTCGATATTAAATGCTGGAAATCACCCATCCCAGGACCTAAATTTCAAAATTTCCTGGGAGGGGGGGGGGGGACACCCCTGACCCCCGTGCCCTCAGCAGACATTTATCGGGACCCCATTTACTATACCCGGGGTCTGCCCCAGAACTCTTCTTCACCAGAAGCCTTGAACAGAGAATGGCCTTTTCATTTCCTAGGTAATGTGTATTTTCTAAAAATTGTTGTTAAATTTAATTCTTTAATGCTCATCTTAACAATCTGTTACTTAAGACAATAATTTGAGTTTAGCCTAATAAATGATGAGTGACAAAAAGCCTTCAACACTAAATAAACTACCCAACTTTTTATTTCAGAGCTGACTGCCACTGAATATGTACAACATCAGATGGCAGAAAATCGAGGCAGTAGATTACTTGCTTTTTCCGCAGGGTTTCTTGTGAAGGGATTTGCTGATGAACCAAGCTAATAGGCGGAGATTTGAAGTCTCTTGCCCTTACTACAGCTTAGAAAAAAGATGGTCTCGAATTTAAATCCAATAAAACAGTATATTAATTTGAGGAGCTGTATCAGTTTCTGACTTTATAATTTCCCTTATCTTAAAGTTACACTTGCACCTAATTTGAAAGCCAGCATAAGGAGAACTTGTCTAAAAACTTAAAGTTGCACTCATGCCAAATTTGAAAGCCAGTGTAAGGAGACCCTGTCTGACCTGAAGTGATACGTTTTGGTCAAGTCAGCCTACAGACAAGAAGGCCAATTTTGCCAGAGGTGCTAGAGGAGAAACCACCACTTTTTCTTTTATTCTTACTCGCCCTTGGATGGTATGCCAGGACATGCAGGGTTATCTCCCCAACACCACCCCCCACCTTTTTCCAACCCAACAGCAATTTGCCATCTTTCCCTGACAGGCTTTCATTTACCATTTTTGACCTTTCTGCCTCTGAACAGAGGAATAGACTTTGATAGTAGAGAAAAATAACAAAATGGTCCAGCTAGGACAAGAGCAAGGGCCCCTTGATACATGGTCAGGGGAAACAATCACTGGAACACTGTATCTCTCTAACTGAGGCATTTAGGTGCTAAAGAAATTGAAGATCTAATTCAAAATCCAAGCTGACCAAACAGAACATTCACATGGCATGGCAATAAGTCACAAATGTAAAAATGATGGTTAAAATATCTGCTAATGTTTCAGCTCTTGTAAAACTGCTGAATCACACATTAAGATAATGAGAAAAAAGGAAATGATCATTAATTAGAAAAGTCTGCGATTGTTTACAAATTCTCCTTGTCAGCTTATTAAGAAATGTAGAGAGAACAGTATGGAGAATATTGATATCCATGTTAGGGTGTAAATGATTGAGTGGGATAAATGCCTCACAAAAACACAACTGTATTACCTGCCTTAAAACAACACAATATCAAATGAAAGAAACAATTTAATTGCCAAAAGGTCTGGATAGAAGCAGATATGTAATAATTATAAATTTATGAAAACAAATGACACTTTTTAAAGACATGTTTTGACAGTTCTTTGAGTGGGGATAAATCCTCACAAAAACACAACTGTATTACCTGCCTTAAAACAACACAATATCAAATGAAAAAACAATTTAATTGCCAAAAGGTCTGGATAAAGCAGATTGAATTTATAAATTTATGTGACACTTTTTTTGGTTAAATAGTTTTGTCCAAATAATACAAAGCAATTTTTCTGACACTTTAAATTCAACTTTGTACTTTGTATTATTCAGAACTGAAGATGACAGAAGACCTGTCGAAACATGTTTTTAAAAAGTGTCGTTCATTTTCTTAAACAATTTAATCTTTGAAATAACTCTCCTTTTTTCAAACAGCTTCAGTTGTCTCAAATAAATACATTTCACCCGATACCTGACTTTTGAAACAGCTAAGGCTATCAGATAAATTAATAAATTATGATCAATGGATAATAACATTTGCAGTTTTCAAAATCCCTTTCTTCAGAAGTAAAGTCTCCACCCAGTGCTTCAGCCAAAGCAAATTGAGGAATTTCTGAACCCCGAACTTTCAAAGTGTAACAAGCAACTTCCACCTTATTCATACTGGCCTTCAATACTCTTAATTTTGAGGCAATCTCTCTAGAAACATTCCTGAACGCTACGAAAGCGTTGTGAATTTCCCGCAAAAAGCTGCACACCTCAAAAGGAGTGTTTTGGTCCCCGCTCGACGCACTGTTTATGCAGAAACGCATGAGCTCTCCCGTCAGATCCGCGATTTCAAGTACGTAGTCGAACGGATTTAAGCTTAAGCCAAGATCTTTACCATCCTCATTTGAAAATTTCAACTCCGCTTCAACTTGGTCGAAAGAAATCAAAGTTTTTCTCTTGAGAAAATGCGCGAAAGACAATGCTTTGATGTATTCCTGCACACCAGGAGAATATGCTCGGGTGAACAAGAAAGGGTCTTCTCCCTCTAACTCCAAAGCTATCGTATTTAGGAGTTCTTTAACCTTTACAAACTTTTCATCTGCTTCTTTGAAGATCTGCTCCGTATCACTCGCTCCTGCTACTCGCTGAAGATTAAAAATGATCCGCTTGCTTGCAATGGCAACATCTCTGCTACATTTTACTAAACGCTCGTGTTTGTCATACCGAGAATCCAGCTCTTGCCGATGATTTTTAAATGATAGTATTACTGGCGAGTTCTCATCGACTTTTCTCTTCGGAGGGCTGCTCTCTTGAGCTTGAGGTCTAGGACGTTTCCCCTTTCCTTGTTTCACGACAGCCGCCATGAAAACATAAATCCAATTCACCCATTATGAGCTCCGGGAGAGCAAGAGGTAACTTCTGGAGAGGACGAGGACAGAGGTTCCGAGGAGGAAAGAGTGCTGGAGAAACGAGCCAGACAGGAAGAGGTGAAATTGATTGACTTTCGATTACTCTAATGTTTTTCTGTGTTCCACGCTTGTGACTTGACGAAAAAATTTGTTAGCAATTTCATGAAATTATCGCTTTAGCACAAAGGGGTTCAGACCAAGGAAGTTCAAGTCCTCAAGTGGAACATCAAAGAGCACGGCAAATACAGACAAGCTTAACGCCGTGTCCCTTCAAGAAATGGAACTTTTACTTCCCTGACATTGGTGAGTCGGTAGTTTGGTGGGATTAGTTTGTAACCAGGTGCATTTTTCATCCATGAACACCTACCCTTTACCCTTTCACTCCCAGAAGTGATCAACACAAAATTTCTGTTTACAGTATTAATACAGTATGAAGCAGACAAGTGATGAGAATAAATACAAATATCAATTGGGGGATTATCATATGATCCAACATCAAACTTTTAGAATTTAAAAAAAAAAATTATAAGGAATGTATGGCAAAGAGTTTTAATCAAGATATTGGGAGTGAAAGCACAAATATAATTGTAAGGAGAAGTTATGTGTTCACCGCTTGTGGAAGTTAAGGGTTACAAGTGGTACACTTGTCTAGTTTTAACTTGAATCCCTTACCAGTTGACTGGATATATATTTGATTTAATGTATCTTGACTTTAAGGAATTATCCATTCAAATAATTATTCTTCTGAAGTTTATAACCCAGACTCATCTCATGCAACCAAAGTTAAAGCCATCATGAAGTTTGTGGAATCACATGCAGCTCAACTTTCTAAGGTAAAAATAGAAAAAGCCATAGTAGTTGTTCAGTTACTTCCAGATTGTGTGCATTATATTCTGTCAAGTCACCCTGTCACTCATAAGATCTCATTAATAATTTTCCTTACTGTCTGCAATACAATTCTCATGATATCAGTTCTAAGAATTTGATATTGGATCAACTAATAATCCCCCAACTAATAATTATCTTTATTCTCATCTCTTGTTTGCTTGATATTGTCAGGAGAAATTCTGTCTTGGTCTGACTCAACAGTGATCTGAATAATGCACTTTCTTAGGATGAGATTGAAAGCAAAGCAGCTGTGATGTTTGACTATATGGATCTAATATCAGATACAGGTAATCATGTTATGAGTAGAATTAAATGCAGAGTTACAAACTTTTTAAATGTTTTAAAATCTAGAGAGAACATACAACTTTGGTGATCAAAGCCCATATTTAATCGAATAAGCCCCCAGCTCCACATGTCAAATAAGCCCCAATCTCTCAAACAAGTGTCCTCTTCAAATTAGTACACCGCTCCTCTCCCACAAAAAACATGTTTTATTCCCACTTTATCCACGGTGAGAGTTCCTTCATCCCCTGCTGATTGAGTCAGCAGGTTTCTGCATTTTTTCTAGTTAAAACTAAAAGTTAACAACGGAGTAATTAGCATTGCAACACTTGCTACCTGAATCCAGCAAGGTGGTTATCATCTTTGTTATACAAATAAAAAAAAAAACGAATTTATTTTATGTTCATGCAAAAGGAATGCCGGCTGACATATTTGTTGTTGGAAAAAAATTAAAAAACGCACGAGGGACTTGTATTTTCAAAGCATAGAACCTGTAGCCGACAATTCGAAATGGATTTTATGCGTTAATCGATCCTTCAACAAATTCCAAACGCGCAAAACACTGAAAACAAACTCGCGTGACACTGAAAGCAAAGGCAAATGCCCTAATCAGACATTTATACTAAAAATATTAAACGAAAAAAAACAAGACACTGAACGAATCGTGCTGTTTTTGATTCTTCGTTCGCATTCGCATTCCTGAAAGTAGTTTACAGGTGAACCACGGCGGCGAAGGCAAAGTAAGTAAAACAAAATATTTAACGAGCAGAACGAAAGCTCAGCACGCGCTTTCTTAAATTCTGTTCATGTTCCCCGCAAAACTGGAGCGTGAAATTATCAAATTTGAGTAGTAAGTGAAAAGAAACCCCGACTGGTCCAATTGGCATAATACTTAGTTTGTTCCCATTTGGAAGCCAACGCAGCTCACATGATGTGCCGAACAGAGTCGGGGTCTGGCGCCCTAAGAGACTGTAAACAAAACCAGTTATTCGCAAAATTCATAAGCAATGTAAGTTCTTTTTTTTAATCGACGTTTTCCTCGGCGTTGCAGTCTTGACTGGTCCCTGGGTTTGACAGGATTATTTTTAAAATCGGGATCACGAATTAAATCACACAAAACAGTATCAATCATTCTTGAACAATTAAAACGGGTAAATGGAAATTTCCATGTAATATTTTTACGATTTCATTAAGAAAGCACCTCGCCAAAATGATCCATGGAAATTTCCATGCATGTATACAAAACAGTATAAAACATTTCTGACCAAAACGTATGTAAATATGTTATATGTAAATATCGAATTTTCTATTTAATACTGACTTTTTGTCAAAAACAGGTCCATAGAAATTTCCATGTAATACTCAATCACGAACACATGTTGTGCCGAAAGGAGTCGGAGTCTGGCGCCCTAAGAGGCGGTAAACAAAACCAGTTATTCGGTTATTGTTGCGGTCTTGACTGGTCCCTGGGTTTGACAGGATTATTTTTAAAATCGGGATCACGCATTAAATCACGCTTCACGCAAATAATTCAGCGGATCCCGAGGTGAAATAAAATTGTCTAGCTAAGGTACAATTTTCACCCAGAGGAACTCTAAAAATAACAAAAATAGCAATTCAATATAAAAAGGTAGGATAATTTCATTTCACTAATTCTGCTTTTACTAATAACGAGTGTTAAAAATATGAACTGTTTGCAAACGAACAACCCGTGCGTCCTAAGAGAGCACTTTATTGGCATTTATCTTTCGCCTCATTTAATTAGTTTTAATTAGTTTTTATTTTGTACAGGATCGTTCTTTACATTTTTGGTGAACATGCCTTGTTTCTTGGAAATAACTTATAGCTTCTTTTACAGAACCTTGTGGGGGGTTGTTGTGTTTGATTGACAATGTCTTCCGGGGTTGGTTTGTATGAAAACTCAATAGCAAAGCGATAATCGTTCCTTAGAAGTTCTTCGCCGAGAATTCAGTCAGAGCACACTCAAGGTAGGCTTCATTTCGTCTCAGAATGCTGAGGAGATTCACCTTAAAAAAGAGACCAAGCTCTGAGACAAATTAGTGCTCTCCCTTCTCTCGAAACTTTCTTCAACTAATATAATTTGCTGAAGATTTTTTTTTTTAAATTACCATTTCCTTGTCCGAAAGGTTTGCCCTCCCCACATGGAGATGCCAATCGCGTTTTTCCCACCACGTTTAGATTAGCTTCATGTTTACAGTTCGTTTGCTGTTCGGCCAGAACTTTTACATATTGTCTACCAGATTAATGAGTTTTCAGACTCTGAAATTAGATGTCGTCAGTTGTCCACGCATTCACAAAGGGACTTCGCTTTACTGTTTTCGCGTATATATTTTGAATAGGCTGCCTTGCGAGTTTCCCCTCAATGATCCAAAAAAAAACTTCATCTTGCTGAAGTACATGTGTAACAAAGCCTCTCTGTCTCTCGATACTCTTAAATTTTCCGATAGCAACGTTAGTTGCACATTGTTGCATCGCTGGTGATGGACAAATTTACACCCATTTGGCAAATTTCCGTGGACAATGAACATGCAGGGGTGGAAATTTTTTGAACTTTAAGCTTGCTTAATGTATCACTTTGCTACTGTAAATTCTGCATTTTTGTACTCCTGTAATTAGATTTTCTGAGGATTTGAAAATCCCATATTGATAAACAACTCGGTGTTCCACCAGAGCACAAATTCATCTTCGTATTAAACACTTTCTGCTCTCTCTTCAGATAAACCGTCAACATGAGATATCTGGTCGTTCTGGGCCTAATCTTGATCAGCACCGTGCTTTTTACATCGGCTGGCAAGAAATACAAATGTGGTCCCATTGTTAAGAAACACAACTGCGAGTGCAAAGCCAAATCAGCGGGCCAATTGAAACTTGAAGATGGGAAATTGCTGATGTGTGATGGCAGTGATTATAAACCTCTGCAGTTTGAAATGCCTACTCCCAAAAATTCAAGGGCGAATCCAGCTTATTCGTGTAAGGAAATCATGGAGGAAGATTCCGCAGCCGACGATGGAATTTACTGGCTTACGTTCAAGAGTAAGATCAAAAATATTTTTTAACTTTAATTTCTGGAAGCTTTTTAAGTGAACTCTGTTAGTCATGTAGAGAGGGCGAATGGTAAAATTTATGTCTCAGATATATTTTTCAGATATTATAAATCGCTGTTTAGATTGTCGAACCTCTTTCGAGTTTGTCTTGGCAATAGATCTCTGATTAAAAATTGCAATATTTTCCAACGGCATGGATGATATAGAGACTTTCCACATCCACAACCATAACCCTAAACAACTTCAGCTGCCCTGTGAAACTTTGAGCCTTATCGCAAAGGTTGACGCGATTTCACGTCTGGATAAAACATTTGCAAGACCCAAGACCGATCAAGTTTCTAGGTAACATTCGCCACAGTTGTACCAATGGCGTATCATAGGTCTATCCTCGCTTGGAACAAATTTGCCAACGGACGCTCACTGAAAGGGTGAATTCATTTCACAATTTTGAACGCAGGAGTTTCACCTTTGATTGTATCTGATTGATTAAAAACTCTTTGTTTTACAATTAATCCTTCAAACAGTGGGGTGTAAGTACAATATGAGTTTTAAATCAGTTAGGAATGAAGTTCACCCATTCCAAGCTTTTTAAAATTTTCGTTTCATATCCAGGTGATCCCAGTGTTTTTCCAGTTTACTGTGACATGTCTAATGGAGGTGAGTTTAAAATTAGTTTGAGTTTAGCTTGATTTGATCAAAAGAAGAGTGTCATGTCCTGACACTTGAGCTTCTGTTTCAGGCCTTTAGACGGTTTTGCATTTCTACAGTTTGCTAGTGTTTCTTTCACGCTCCTTTTCTTTTATTTTGAAAATAACGATCTTGCAGTTTGCGTTTTACGGTCAAACTGATGTTTTAATACCTGGAAAAATTTTCTACATTTCCTCAGCGTTATTCCTTGTGATTGAGGGTAGAACACAATATTGAAATGTTTCTAAACAAGCAATTACATTCTTTCATGGGATTCTGCGGGCAAGCTTCTGGCATGATAGGTTATGGTATGCAAGTTATAAGATCTTCAAAAAAAAATCTTTAGGAGTATTAAAAAAAAAAAGAAAACATTATTTGTTTGTTAAAAATGAAAATAGCATTTTCACTTTGTCACTGTGTAATTTGGGTTTGTTACCGTGGTACTGAAATACCTTTGACTATAATATGTAGACTAATTTTGTTTATTACCTGTTCTCCTGTTTTCACAAGGATGGACCATGATATTCAAGGCGGTGTCCGGGGCGAAGGAAAATGCTTTCAACACTTTCAATTCGGGTGAAACTCTCGCTGAGAATGACATGAGCGCTCTCTCGACGTCACTAACCAGCACCCTGGCGACTACAAAAGCAGGATAATCCTGAAGTGGGCTGAGTTTGCTGCATCTGAGGTAACAAGGATGTTAGTAACGTTAAAGGTGCATAGGTCTGTCATGTACCCGTTGGGTGATAAATCTCAGTTGTAAGAGGAGCGCTTCTCTTCTCCCAAGCGTCTCACATGCAGGCTGAGGTACATATCATGTGGTATGACACGCACCGGAAATCACGATGAACCGGATTAAACTCAACCGTAACGGTAGCAAAACAAGATATATTTTACACAGGGTTCATTGGGCAGAAGTTCTTTAAAGGAAACTAGGGATGATAATCATCTATTCTGCGTTTACAGGCCAAAGTTGTCCTTTACGAAGGCGGGAGCGCTGTAAAGAAGCTTTTCTTCGACGCCACGGGAACGGACAATAATAATAATAAGTCTTTATTAAGCACTCTAAACAACAAACGTGTTTAGTTACAATGATATGAAATCAGCAAGTATAAAACTAATAAACTAACTAAATTACTAACTGAATAACTAATAAGAGAACAAACATCTATTAATAAAGGTCCTTTTGAAACGTTCAGTTCTGACAAGCGGGAGAATATAATTATGGCGCCTCTTACGTAGCGTATCCATTGTTCGCTCTGGTGGCAAAAGGTCATCTAAAGCTGTTGGAAAATCGCTGTCGGTGATCTTGGCCCCACAACTTCTTATCTTTTAGAATGATAATATTTTCAATCGAAAAAAAGCTTTACAGTAGCCAAGCTTAAAAGCTCTCTTGAACAGCCTGTCTATGCGACTCAGATACTTATGATAATACGCGCAGCCCCATACTTCTACAGCATATGTAAATATAGGTAGAATAAGACTGATAAAGAGAAGATGAAGATGATCCAGCGGCAGTCCATAGAATTTACAAACACGTAAGATGTACAGACGACTACTGGCTTTCGATATAATATTATCAAAATGTAAGTCCCAGTTACACGGATCAGATTGAAAAGTTACACCCAACAACTTCAGACATGGTTTACGCTCTATAGAAACCAGAGGAGCAGGTAAGGCCTTAGTGGATTTGGATTTGCCTCTAAGAAGCATCTCCCACGTTTTCTTGAAGTTTAGTTGCATACGATTAGCAGATGTCCATGCGACGATCGATCGGACCTCCTCAGCTGCTAAATTGCCGTTATTAGCCAGCGATTTTACTGGAATACTTAATGTTAAATCATCAGCATATTTCACAAGTAAATTCTGATTTGGTAGAATGGCCTTAATATCATTGACCATAATAGAAAATAGTATAGGGCCTAAAACTGTCCCCTGAGAGACACCTCTATTGATATTTACATAGTCCGTGACAATGGCATCAACAACAACTCTTTGTTCTGTTCTGTAAAAACTAATAATCCAATTGGTCACGTATGGATTTATATCAAGTGTTTTCAACTTAGAGCAGAGGATATCATGAGGGACCGAATCAAAAGCTTTGCTGAAATCAAAAGAGAAGATTCTAACACAATCAAAACCCGACTCAAGCCATTTCAGCCAAGCATATTGACACTTAATTAAGGCCATTGTCGTATTGTGGCCTTTGCGGTATGCAAACTGGTCGAAGCTAATGAAGTTCTTCATATATTGAGATAATTCTTGTCTGTATACAAGACGTTCAAAACCCTCATTATTACATTAGTCAGCGAAATAGGCCGCAACTGTGTGCAATTTTTAAAGTTGGGCTCTTTAGGCAAGGGAGTTATGTCGGCCAATTTCCAAAGATCAGGCACAATGTGATTTTCCAAAGAACAGTTGAAAATATGGGTAACAACAGGAGCGAGGTCGTACGCAAACTCTTTCCAAAACCAGTACGGGATTCCATCTGGACCAGAGGCAGTTCTTTTTAATTTCAGTAGACTCCTGGTAACACTGGAGACCGTTAAAACAGGCATCTCGCTTGATTCCGGGATAGTGACAGTGTCAATGGGTTTATAAAGGGGATCAGTGTTAATGGAACAGAAAAAATTATTGATCTCGCTCGGGGAGATAATTGAGCTTACTTGCGAGTTGGTAGACTTCCTTCCTGTCAGGGAATTGACTGTTGACCACCAAGATTTGGATCCTGCACTATGTTTCTCAAAATTCCCTTTAACTGCTCGAACTTGATTATCTCTGATCAACTTGTTGATTTTCTCTTGAAGAGTTTGGATCTCAATCGAAACAGAATTTCCTGACATGTTACTTCGCCGAATCAATTTTCGCCGTTGGTCCAGTAGATGTTTGATTAGAGGAGAAAAGAACGGAGGGTCCCTATTAGACACACGTACTGATATACCCGGAAAACACTCATCAAACATGGTCTTAATCTTGGTACAAAAAGATTAAGTTTTCCATTCACATCTCCGCATTGATAAACATTGTCCCAGTTATGAAACTTCAACAGTTTATCCATATCCAGTTTATGATGATCACGAACATCTCTGAACATCACAGTTTTCCTTTCAGCCTTAAGTGGGATTCTGGGATATACCAGGACCACAGAGTGGTCAGATCGAACTAGTCCTTGAGTGACCGATACTTTCCTCCAAAAATGTGGGACGTTAGTAATCAAAACATCCAAAATTTTGTTCTTTCTTGTCGGTGTATTTACCATCTGGAATAAATTTAGTTGTGTAAGAAAATCATTGTAATCTAGCTGATTGAGGTCACCACAAATTATAAGGTTGCTGTTAGGATTACCAGTCAATAAATGATCACAACTATTTGTTAGATGTTCCAATAAATCATCAGGACAATATGGCGGATCTGGAGGATGATAAACAAACAGCAGCCACATAAAAGCTTGAGTTGGGAGTTGTAATTTTAGCCCACAAACATTCAAAGGCATTATAAAAACGCTGTCTTATCGTTCCAACAACCAATCGCTCCTACAGACAATAGCAACACCACCGCCTGACCGGTCAGTTCTATCCTTTCGCAAAATTGAGTAATCCTTCGGACAAACGAGATGAGATGGAAAATTTGGTTTAAGCCATGTCTCGGAGATGATGCAAATATCGCAGTTGTTTGAGTGCAATTCCATATGCAAAGCAGAAGCAGCATCAACTTTCAACTTGCATTAATGACCATACATTTGGGGATTATTCCATCCAGAAGAAGAGTGAGTAGAAATGAAATTTTGATCCTTGGGTCGAAGTCGTGCGCGTTTGGTCGTTGATAAAAACAGTGGTCAGTGACACGAACTGGAATCTTGTGATGTTGTTGACGAGATCCAAATCTAGAATTAACACCAGCTCTACGACCTCTAGCTCTATAAATTCCCAATGACTTTAAGCGATGAATAAGATAATAATCCAGTTTAACCTTAGGACAACAGGAGCGAAGTTGAAATAAATTACGTCGACTGAAAGAAAATCTAGGTCTTGAAGTTTGAAGTGAAGCAGTCGGCATGTAGTTAAAATTTTCCGGACCTTAATTTCAACATCCACTGCAATAGATAGGTCCTTGATGAAACCTGGACAGAAAACCGTCGAACCATGCTTTGACCATTTGGTGATCGGTAAAGCGTCTTGCAACAGCAAGGTCTTGACCGCAGCGAGAAGCAGAAAATAGCTTTCGACTGACGCTAAAAGGGCCTTTAAAGGTAGATGGAGGCGAACAGATTGAATTGTGCTTGTCAAGATACTGAACGAACAAGGTAACAAAGCACAAAAGCTTAA